ATTTGAGGCCATTTCCCCTTGTCTAGTCACTTGGTGTGTGGGAGAAGAGCCCAGTCCCCACCTCGATACAACCTCCTTTAGGGTAATTGTAAAGTACAATAAGGTCTCCCCTGAGCCTTCTCTTCTCCATACTAAACAACCCCAGCTCTGCAAAGGTAGCTGAGCCCTCTTTTCCACACAGCAGTGTACTGGTGCTTGAAAGACAAACTCAGTATCCCTATTGGTCTTCCAAAGGGCCTTGAAGGTGATTTTCAGATCTTACCTCCTTCATGTTGTCATGCTGCTTTGCCAGCGCCGTGGCTGATGACTGCTGTAGGCCCAAGCACAATGTTTTGGGTACAGTCACTCTTGGTAGGGATTTTCTACTTTGCACAGTGACCAGCTGCATCAGCGCTGCTGCAGTTCAGAAAGGAGACAGAGCCGAGCACCCTTCTAGCATGTGCTGCTTCTAGGTGACCTATTCTGGAGTAAACACCTGGATCTACATAGATCTTCCTTCTACTCCTGACTCCTCCTTTCCCATTTTCTTAAAAACATTGGGCTGGAGACCCCATGCTGCTCAGCTGGCAAAGCCCCATATCGTAATGGCAAGTAGGAAGCTTCTGGTATCTGAAGTCTTCTGAATGGCATCTGAAACCTCTGTAAGAGTAACAGTGGCTTATTCATCACAGCTTTTAAATAAGATATTCAGTATTTCTGTCACTTTGATTTTGTGCTATTCTAGTTCTTGCTTCATTCAAAATTTTTGCTGAGGGGCTAAGAGATATTGGCAATCAGAACATGCAGAAATGGTCCGTTCATTTCTTTTCTTGCTCTCCAGAATTCAATAGCACTCCAGAATAATTGGCCTATTTCCATTTGGAAAGAGGCGTTTTTCAACTCAACACAAAAAGTTCACATTCCATTGAAAAGAAACGGTTTACATTTTTCCATCTCGACAATGTTTCAAGCAAGCAGCTTCATTTTTTTCAGGTGAAATACAGCATAAAGAGCTGTGAATTTCAAACTTTTATAGTTAAGGTTTCATGCTGATTTGCAGCAGCCTGTCAAGGTCCCCAATTCTCTGTTCCACCCATTAGTGATGCTTGTATATCGCTGCGTTCTGCTTAGTCTTTAATGAACTGTCAATGCTTGACTCAGGAAAATGGTATTTTGCAAGTGCTACAGAATGATCAACAAAACCAGTTCAAAAACATAAAAGTGTCATCTCTTCAGCATGCAGCTGCTTTTACCTTGTCATTTCACTTTCCTTCTTATTCCCACTTAAACATTTTTTTAACAAGCTTTATGACATTTGTTGAAGCCACACAAATCTTGGTACAAGGAGCCCTTAACTCATCTACTTGCTCTGTAAAGCAAGGAATTAAATCTCTGAATTGTAATACTGGATTGTTTGTGAATATATGCAATGGAGCCTAAAAGAATTGTCTGTTTATATATATATATATAAATATATATATATGTTTATATATATATATATATATTTAAATTTTCTTTGCTGCATTGTTATGCCGATTTTGATGCCTCAGTTCTGTGATTTCCACGTGTTGGCTGTCCAAGCCAAATGGATGCTGAAATCTTATTTGAAGTAAAAGGGATAATGTGGATTCTTAACAATTATTCTCATAACAACACAAAAACGTCTGTGAGAAGACAACTATACTTTTTCTGATGTTGACTTGATTTTGAAGGGGAAGTGAGTGTGCAGAGAGAGGAAGTATGGCCTTTGTGAGGCAGTCCCATTTCTCATGCCCTGCTGCCTTCCTGGCTGTACAGAAGGTTGATTTACTGACCCAGTAGGGGAAAACGGGTGTCTGTGCTTTGCATGGTTGTGAGATCCTGATTTTACTAATGCCTTGCATAGTTGTGGGATCCTAGTTGTGCTGACTGTAAAAGCACTAGATATAGCTGCACACTCATTTTTATTTCTTCTGCAGGAAAAAAAAAAACATTCAGTTGTATACTCAGTGCTAGCACTTTTTGAATGATCTGTGCAAGTATGCAAAAGGCTCCTAAGCGCAACACTGGCAAAGGAAGACAAGCCCGCTGCTTGTCCTGCCAGGAGATATGTCCCATGATATTAGTGAAAGCAGGGGAAAGAGGATGAGAGCAGTGACTCTTACTCTTTTTACTTTCTCTGCGTCAGAGTAGCTGGTTCAGTGCCCTTGAATTTTCCACACAGAATTACTTCTCCACTGAGCAGACAGGATGCAGGTAGTCCCATGCAAATACAAAGGCATCACAGCAAACAGATCCCATTCAAGAAACACAGCAGCAGTACCAGGTGCTTACTCAGAGTCTGCAAACACCAGAAATGCTATGAAGTGGAGGAACAAACTAAGAGAGCAAATTCAGCACAGATGGCTTAGGCAAAGATTATATTTTCTTGCTAAGCCAATTCTTGCCTTTCATATCACTGATGAACTAATAGGCTTAACCCCAATGAAATAGTAGGCTCAGTGTCGTGTAATTGTATCTGAAGATAGTTAAAACTTCAAAATGTAGTCTTCTAGGTAAATGTTGATTTTGTTGTTGTTGATTTTTTTCCAGCTGCCTTTCCAAAGTCAGTGCATTTATTTGGTCAGAAAAAAAAAAAAAAAAAGGCTCTGTGAAGCTGTCATCACCCATGACAATTAACTCTCTGCCAGGCATCCAAAAGCACAAGGTCCTGCATCTCGGCCAGGTCAACCCTATGCACAAATACTGGCTGGGCACAGAGTGGATGGAGAACAGCCCTGAGGAGAACGACAACACCTCGGGGTGTTGGTTGATGAGAAGCTCAACATAAGCTGGCAATCTGTGCTTGCAGCCCAGAAAGCCAACCAGATCCTGGGCTGCATTGAAAGAAGTATGGCCAGCAGGTTGAGAGAGGTGATTCTCCCCCTCTGCTCTGCTCTTTTGAGACCCCACCTGGAGTACTGTGTTCAGCTCTGGAGCCCTCAGCACAAGAAGGACATGGACCTATTAGAGATAGTCCAGAGGAGGGCCACGAAGATGATCAAGGGGCTACAGCACCTCTCCTTCCACAGGAGCTCTGTCTTCCGCAGACCTGCTTGCTTGTTCTCCCCAGGTGGGATGGGAGAGAAAATTGGAAAGGTAAAAGAGGGGGAACTCATGGGTTGAAATAAAGACAGTTAACTAGGCAAAGCAAAAGCTATTTGTGAAAGCAAAGTAAAAGGAGGAATTCACTCAGTACTTCCTATCAGCAGGCTGATCACAGACTCATAGAATCACAGAATAGATTGGGTTGGAAGGGACCTTAAAGATCGCCTAGTTCCAACACTGCTGCCATGGGCAGGAATGCCAGCCACTAGATCAGATTGTCCAGGGCCTCATCCAACCTGGTCTTGAACACCTCCAGAGATGGTGTTCAACCAATTCCAGGAAAGCAGGACTCATCATGCATAGTTGTTCCTTGGTAAGACGATTGCCATCACTCTGAACATCTCCGCCTTTCTCCTTCTTTACCTCAGCTTTTATTGCTGAGCATGGTATCATATGGTATGGAATGCCTTTGGTCATTTGGGGTCAGCTGTCCTGACTGTCCCCTCTGAACTTGAACACACCAGCCTCCCCGCTGGCAGTGCAGCAGGAGAATTTGAAGTCTCCTTGGCTCTGTGCAAGCACTGATCTACAACAACTAAAAATATTGATGTGTGATCAACATTATTTTCATCAAAAATCCAAAGCGCAGCATCGTCCAAGCCTCTATGAAGAAAATTATTGTAGAAAAAAACATGATGAGGCCCATCACCATTGTAGCCCTCCTTTGGACACTCTCTAATAGTTTTATTTCCTTCTTATATTGTAGCTCCCCAAACCATACGCAGTACTCAGGATGAGGTTGCACCTGCAAACAGTAGATCAGGGCAATCACTTCCCTCAACCAGCTAGCAATGCTGTGCCCAATGCACCCCAGGACACAGTTGGCCTTTTTGGCTGCCAGGGCACACTGCTGACTCATATTCACCTTCCCTTTCCATGGGGCTGCTGTCTAGTCTCTTGTCCCCTGGTCTGTACATATATCAAGGGTTGCCCCATACCAGATGTAGAATCTGGCCCTTGCTCTTGTTAAATTTCACACAGCTGGTGATAGCCCAGCTCTCTAGTCTGTCAAGATCTCTCTGCAAGGCCTTTCTACCCCCCAAGCAGTAGCAGCTCCTCCTAATTTAGTATCATCTGCAAACTTGGCATTTGAGTCCTGGGTCCAGGTCATTTATGAAAACGTTAAAGAGAACTGGCCCTAAAATGGATCCCTGGGGAACTGCACTAGTGGCTGGCTGCCAGCCTTTGAGCCTGACCCATCAGTTGGTTGTTCCCCCACCATTTCATGAGTTTGTCATACTGTAAGCAACGGTATTGAAAACTTTGCTGAAATCTGAAAAGATTACATCAACTGGCTTCCCTTGGTCAACTAGGTTGGCAACCTTGTCACAAAAGGAAATGAAGTGTGTTAAACAGGCCTTTCCTCTCATGAACCCATGTTGAATGTGACCAATGACTGTGTTGTCTTTCCAGTGTTTTTCAGTAACCCGCAGGACGATCTTCTCCGTAATTTTTCCAAGCACTGAAGCGAGACCGAGGGGCCTGTAATTATAAGGCTCTTCTTTCTTTCCTATCTTGAAAACTGGTACAACATTTGCCAGCTTCCCGTCAACTGATCCCTAGGACCTCCTGGCGCTTTATCTCCTGCAGCAGCACCGAGATTAAAACCCCTCTCAGGGCCACCTCGCTGCGAGGCGCCGCAGCCAGCCCCCAGGGCGCCATTTCGCGCTCCCCGCCCTGCCGGCTGGCGGCGCCATTTGCTGCCCCCGCGCCCCCTCCCCAAAATGGAGGCGCGTGCGTCCTCTCCCTCTCAGGCAGGGGGGAGCCTTCCCTGTGGGCACGGAGCGGGACCAGCCCCGCATCCCCCGCCGCCCGCAGGTGAGGTTCCTCCCAGCTCGGCAGTCGGGATGGCGCGGGGAGGGCTCTGCGCGGCCACCCTGCGCGGGAGAGCCGGGCTGTGCGAGGCGGGGGCGGGCAGCACGGTACCGCAGCGCACCGCCGGCACCGCACCGCCCCGGCTCTTCGGCGCCGCCTCCAGTCCGCGGGGCCGCGCACCCGCGGCAGGGACGGGGGCCGCGGAGGCCCCGCCGGCAGGTAGGCTGGGGCTGCGGCCTCCGAGCGGCGAGAGCCGGCCGGCCTGAAGGGCCGCAGCGGGACAGCGCTAGAGGTAACGCGGCCGTGCCTCGCCCTGCCGCCGCCAGGCAGCCGGAGCAAAGCGTGTGTGTGTGTGTGTGTCCTGTGTGTGTCCTGTGTGTGTGCAACCTGTTAGGCCGGCAGTGCGAGAAGAAACAGCCCCAGGCTGCATGAGAGGGATGCGTATGTGCATATTTCATTTCCATGCATGCTATATGTATTTATATGTGTGTGTGTGTAGCTCTGTCTGAGCTCAGAAATCATTACTTTACGTTGTCCTCTGCGTGTTTATTTGGATATTTTGTATATCTGAAGGATGTAAGGATGTTATTCGTTCCACGTTGTTACCCCATTTTCTGTCAATGTGGGTGTTGCAGCCTAAACGTGTATTTACGTGTGGCTGGTGGACATGATGCTGATGTTTAGTATGTGAAATGCATTGTCAGTGCGTTAGGAGCAGTAGAGCAGAGCTTAAACAGAAGAAAATACTGTCACAATTGTGACAGTAATTTTGGGAGCTATCTATGTTGTGATTTGTTTACAAATGCAGAAAATAACCCAGTCATTCCCCTGACCCCCTTCAGGAGTGTGTCATGTAAACAGGTAACCAATGAACTAGTCAGATAGGTGAGGGATAAAAATGAAACACATGTTGATTGCCACTGTGGTCCTCCCTAATCTGTTTGTGCTGTAGGAGTACTCCCGTGTGCCTCATACTGATTATGAGACAAGATATTGGCATTGATAAAGGATACTGGCTTTTAAACTCTTCAGGTTAGGTTCTGTATGCCTTTGTCTGTACAGTGTTTTATAGCAGGAGCCTGATCCTCAGCCACACAACTGTAATATGTGCTTGCTTTGTTTAATTATCCACTTGTGTTCTGCAGGGTTTACTATTGCAGCTGTTATTTCACAATTAGGCATTGTCTTAAGCCAAATCTACATCCTTAAAAAGCTGCTACAGTACAAAGTTAATAGGTGATCCTGTCCCTATTCGTTTTGGTCACTGAGGTGGGGTGGGGGTTGAGTTGTTCAGCATGTTGCACATCAAACTGTGTGTCTGAGTGGTGCAGGTATGTGTGTGCAAGATGCATAGGCAGGTGATTTTCCCTGAAGCACTGTGTAATGGAAGAGGCAATGTGGCCTGAATTTTACACTGTTGAGGCTCACAGGAGTTATCATCATGGCCTGTGGAAGAGACTGCTCTGGGGATGCCTGCCCAGGCTAATCTTTCTCCACCTACAGGGAGTATTGTGATGGAGGGATGAAAGCGCACTTCATAAACACTAATTCCAGTGGTGTAGAGCTGGGGGAGTTCCCATATGCAGGTTTCTGAACCTGCTAGTGCAATGGCCATGAGGAATGGTTCGGATAGAATTGGCTCTTGTTCCTTTGCACATGCACAGTGTGTGTTTCAGATGGAGAACTTTTCCAGTTGAATAATTGCATGGGCTTCTTCACATATTTGTAATATGGACTTCTATTACACGTATTTTAAAGAAAAGCAGCATTGCTTTATTAGTTTTGGTAATGCTGCTAAATGTATATCTGTAGTAGGATTCAGCAATTAGAGGCAGGTCTGTGATCAAGTGCTGTACATCCACCAGTCTCCGATTTCAGGGCTGCAGAGGAAATACAGAGCCATAGTAATGGATATTGTACCCCTGGGGAGAAATTCTTCCTATTATCAAGCAGTTAGCTTTCAATTTCTGTCACAAACTGTCTTTCTGTACAAATTCATAATCTAATATAACTGTAGATACAACTTTTCCATGTAAATATCTTTTTCTGACCAATATCAGGGTCTAACTTGAGTATATTTCAGGATGATATGACTTCGCAATGAGCAGATGTGAATTTAGTCAGTCCAGCTGGAGGTAGCATGAATGTGGTTAACTCAATGTTCAGTTTTCAGCTAATTAACTTTGTTGAAGAGATGTTTTAATGATTGTTTAGTCCTAATACCTTTTCCTGGGAAAAAAAAAGGAGGAAATCTGTTCTCTATACAATTTGTTAACTCTTCTGCATGTTATAAGGTGTTTCACTGGTTAATATAGACAGATTTAAAAGAAAATGTGCTCAGTCATCTAAAGTGGGGCTGCAGAGATTGTCCTCTCAGTGGGGGTGGTGGTGGTGTGTGCACACGTGTGCTTGCTTTATCAGTTTATAACAAGCAAGTCGTTTTCTAAACAGCATGGTTAAAGAAGCTTTCTGTGAATTTGTGTTGAGGTCAATTGGCTTTTAAACTGAAATCTAACAAGTTTAGTTTTTTGTTTTTTGTTTTTTTCCCTCAATTATCTTTGTATATTCCTCTACATTTTTGGATGAATCCCACCCCCCACTCCCCCTTTTCTATACAGTGCATTGATGGTGTCACAGGAGTGCCATTTTCAATTATTGATACTGGATGGCATATTTTGGGGTGGCTGGCATGTAGAAGTTCAAGTAGTAGTTCTGCCTCTTGTGGCTTGGCTGCTTTTACAGAAGTGGTAGGAAGTTAATTACCTGCTGGTAATCTGTTCTTAAATTGAAATCTGCTCAATGGCTGTAGGATTGGGTTTTTGTGTGTGTTTTTTTTTGCTTCTTTGTTTTTAAGACGAAAGCTAACAATGGGTGTAAAACAGCATGGCCATGTGAGCGAAAACTTTTTTTCCCTTCTTTTCTTGTCTAAGAAAACAAACTACTTGCTCCTTTTGCTCTTCTATTGACATACAAGCTTTCAAACCTAGAAGTGGATGTACAGCATCCCACTGTAGTCAGTCTTTTTTGAAAGCATTAAAAGAGGAGGACACAATTGGAGAGAGTGTTATATACTTCACCTTCAATATCTTGGCTTTTCTGGTTGTATACTGTTTTACCCAAGCCACAGTATGTGAGCTTTTTTGGTTTGTTTGTTTGCAGTTTCATTTGGTCACCATTGATGTTCTCTGTGCTCAGCACTTCTGAGATCAGTGTCTCATGCAGTGTATTTACAAACTCAGGTCCTCCAGATTTGCAAACACTGGCTTTGAGGATACTAGCTAGGTAGAGGTCATGTTACAAGAAGAGTTGATTTTTAAGTCTTAGATAATAATTCTGCTACGTAATACCTGCAATGGTTTGTGTATCATAAGTGAAAGCTCCTAAATTCTGATACTGATTTAGGTGGGACCATGACTTTGTCCCATGAAGTTCTTCTTTAAAAAAAGAAAAAAACCACTAAGATTTATAAGAGTCACAATTTAACACTAAAGACCTTATTTTCAAATTGTAAAGCTTTCTCTGCAGCAATGAGAGTTAGCAAGGTTGAATTTGCAGGTTGTAGGTTGTTCGTAGGTTGAAAGTTTTCAACAATTGCTATAGTTAAGGCACTTAAAATTTATGAAAATCCTAAGAACTGCAGTATAACAGTGATGATCTGAACCAACAGATAGCTCCTTTTTATTTATATTTGAGGGCTGGTAGTCTGAGTATGAAAAATACTGTTAGCTTCAACTTGATGCTCTAGCTAATCTTTTGTTCTGGTTTTAATAGATGACTAATACAATCATTTTTGGCCTTGAACAGGTGCAAAATAGTTTTAGATGGAGCAACTGATCAGATAAGCACACAGAACAGAAGAACTATCTGAATGAGAATCTTTCTTTTAACTCTTAGAGTTCGCTCACATTTCCCTGGTATTATTAACCCTTGCCTGAAATGTTACTTCCACCACAAAAGGATGTGTCTGCATCGAGTTGGACCCTTTGGTGCAGCTAACTTTCTTTACGACAAAAAGCAGAAGATATACTTCCACAAGGAATTGGACTGAGACCACACAGTGTCATCACCCAGTCCTTCAATCAGCTGTCAGACAGTAACAACTTAAAGTTCTCCAAGCTTGAAAAAGATTCATAGCACCTTTTCTGCCTGTGTATGTCTCCTCCTTCCAGGCAGTCTGCTAAGTTTCTCTCACTTTTTTTGAAATTTAGAAGTGATGTTATGTACAGCAGTGGGATAGTTGTTTTGTGGTCTCTTTTCCTGCTGTAAAAATAGGTAAGCAATGGAAGAACATACTTAAAGAAATTCTGAAATACCTTTCAGGGGAGCCTCAGGAACAGGTTAGAAATCCGAAGGAGGATTTAAGGATGCTTTGTCTTGCCCCAGGGCAGTGTATGGAACAAGGTACCATCTTCCTTCATGTTCCTTCAAGTTTTCCCTTTCCAGGGCTGTTGTGGTACTGAAACCAGGACAAGGACTCATTCCATGTTCTCTGCAGAGTACATATTTGACGATAAGAAAGAAAACTTATAAAGAAAGCCCTGTTCTGGTGAGAACTAAATATGTATGAAATCCAATGTATATTGTTTTGGAGGAATTATCCATTAGTTTTCCTCACTCTTGTGTCTTTATTCAGAGAATAGATATTTCCCTGTCCTGCCAGTGGGGAGCGCAGGGTTCCGAGATGTCTAGTGTTGTCCATCTGTGCTACTCATAATATGGTGTAAATCCTGATACTAACAATAGCACTTCAGTTTCTCAGTTTCTCTTCAGAGCAGTTCCATCATTTATTGGTGTGTTTTTTTTTTTGTTTTTTTTTTTTTTCCGTTTCTTCCATGTATGTAATACTTGACACTATGTAACACTGCCAAGCATCTCATCTTTAGGAATTCCACTGTTTGCTGTCTCCACTGCAATTGTAATAAAGGCTGCATAAATCTATTAGAATAAAATTATTTTTCTTGCGGAGCACTGCCTTCTGTTGTTATTTGTGAGGTTGGTATTCTTTGACAATTGACAGAGCTGTGGGTATCAGGGGAAGTAATGGATCACGCAGTCCACCAGTGTAACATGGCAGGGTATTTTCAGCTCTTCATTTAGTTGTTTTATCACCGTTACCTTGTTGTTTGTGTCTTAAACTTGACCCAGAGAATTGATTAACAGTTGGGCCATAATATCCATCTAGGTGTCAGCCTCCAATAAGACACCTATGGGAGCCCCTCTGAATAAAGCAGAGATGTTGACAATTGCAGCTATATCCCGTAGCTGCGGTAACAAACTTCCCAGTGGTGGTCATGGTTCTGTGTTTTCAAGTACAGGTACATAGTGCGAGAAAGTTGTGTGAGAAGAAAGTGATTTTGCACACAGGTCATAAGTAGTAATGATTCTGTTGTACCTTCCACATCTGTTGAAAAGCTTGAATATTGTCCCCTTTATTTAGATGTGCCTGCTTTGTTGATGTGCATTAATGTAGTAGCTCTAATACTAGAATTCCTGCTGTCTGCAAGTATCCTGAATGTGTTTTTTTTTTTGTTTGTTTGTTTGTTTTTCTGTGATGCTAGGGACAAATGCTAATGTCATGAGATTTTCTTTTTCGCCCTTCTGCAGTATTAATACAATACTAATACTCATCTATTGCTTAACTGACTTAGGTATTAATGTGGGTAGGGTAACTGATGAAATAACACCCACTGAAAAATTAATACCAGTTAGGTTTCCTAAAGAATTGTCTTATATACGTTAATGTTCCCTTTAAACATAATATATAAAGACGCTTCTGTTAGGTGCAGGTCAGACCAAGTGGTAATGTGTTCATTTACTCTGCCATCCTGATTTATAAAAGAGATGCTGTCCATCAAAAATACATATATTTTTTTTTGCTTTAACTGCAGCTTGAGATTTCAGGTAGTGTTTCAGCATTTCTTTTGGCCTGTTGCCCAGCTGTGCTATTGACCAGAAGGGCAAGGAGGTGAGAAGCCCCTGCTTGCCTTTCCCACCACCATTAGTGTCACTGTGCCCAGTGTTCTTATAGCCCTTGCTCTCTTGGAGGCATCAGCTGGCTAGCATTGCTCACTGGCTGCTCAAACGCACTACTGGTTCCTATCTCCAATTTCCTTAGCTAGCAGGGCAGCAGTGTACTGCCTTACACCGTTCTGCAGCACTAGGATTTGATGCCTTTTCAAATACAGGTAATTTAGTCCGTCTGTGTTCTTACTGTTACAGCTGTGGACTAATTAACGTGTAAAAGGTGTCAGGGTAGTTCTGCTTGGCTGACCCTTTTCTCTCTGAGCAAGTGAGATGAATCTGCATTAAAATCCAGGTAAAACAAAATGCACAGTGAGATTTGGGGTGGAGGAGGAACACCCCCTAGGGGAAAGGGCAGTTCTTTTCCCTTAGAAAGTTGTTGTACTTCATGTGTTATCTAACAATTGACATCATGGTCCTGATCAGCAACTGCAGGTGTTTAAAACGTCATAAAGTCAAAACACTTGTCTTGAGGGATCAGTTGAGAGTACCCTTTCTGTTGGCTAGAACGGAGCCAAATGCTCAGAGTAAGGCAGTATACATGTGTGTGTGTATATATATATATACATATATATATATATATATGTATGTATATATATAATACGTGTGTGTATCTGTATATGCATACAGTTATTTTTACCTGTCTGTGGGCTCAAGGCTGCCATCCCTCATCCAGCTAAAAGTGTACATCAGTTTTGTATCTTTGAGTGCCAAGAAAATCCAAAGTTAGTAACAGCAGCGTTATCTGTCTGCTTGTAGCAGAACAGAAGTATGTCTCTGTTACATGAGTGAAGGACAGATTCAGCTGGAGTATCCATCTCATGGCCTTACTGATTTTTAACTGTTGGAATCTCATGACTGGCCTTCTATGTGATTTTTAATGTCTCCTTTGTGTGGTGAAGCGTGTGTGAACAGTACAGTATGATGAGGAAGGTAAGAGGAGCATTACATGTATACATCCAAGCTCTTGAAATTCTGAGTGTTTACCTTCTTAACTGTTGAAGAAAGCATTTGTTTTCTGGTGGTTGCGTTCTCTCTGTGGGTCAGAAGCTATGCACTGAATTGCGGTTCTGTGTGCGTTGTGTTTGAGCATGATCATAATACTGGGAAACATAAGCTGGTTTTGCAGTGAGTGGAAGCTCCTCCATCATGTAGGAATTAAACACAAATGGATGTGTGGCCACAGAGCAGCATGGAAAGACAGTGCATTTGTGCATGCAGAGTATCCTTATGCTGTGAACACTGTAGGGATAAGGTGTGTAGTGCAAAGCCTGGCACTTTGCTGCTTTGGTAACTTTTATTAATACAAACCATATGTATATTTGTTTATATATATGTTTGGTTTTTTTTACAAGTAGTTTCTGAACCAAGGCAAGTGATGTTGCAAAAGTCTGGATCATTTGCATTAGAAAAAGGTATCTAGTATTTCAGCTCCTACAAATACATTTTTGCGTGTGTGTGAACCAGGTAGCAGAGGACATACAGAACATGCAGAGCAATGTTCATAAAGCAAAGCTCTTCCCCTTTGTTTGAATCCCTTTTAGCTAAGGGTACAGGGATAGCACACTTGCTCCTTTGGAGAAGTGACGTAACCTGTGCCTTGGGCTGGCATTCCCACCTGGAGTTCATGGTTTTTCCTAGTGTTGCTAGAAGTTACGTGGATGACTCAGTCTCCCCTTCCAGGATATGGAAATCACTACTTGTCTCCTTTTAGTGGCAGCAAAGTTCACCTTACTTAGGAAAAAAGGTTGTAAAATAAGCAAAATTTTTCTGCCATCTGATCAGTGTTAAATTTTCCCTTGTGGTGTTCTGTTTCCGAGCCTGATGCATTTTTCTGTAGGCTCAAGGACTAAAAAATGTGTCTTACCCATCTGGTCCATTTGGCTGCTTCTTGGACTAAGTGAAGGTTACAGCAACTACCTACTACCTCAGACACCTCAAGTTTCAGGAATAAGCGCTTCTGCGAATTGCAAATCTTTGATCATGGGGATTGAGAGAAGTTTCCAAGGATTAGAGGAAAGCAACTGTCACTCCTGTCTTCAGAAAGGGCAAAGAGGGAGAACCTGGGGAACCTCAGGCTTGTCAGCCTCACCTGGACCCCCTGGGAAGGTGGCAGGGCAGCTAAACTTGGAAAGCATTTCCAGGCACACGGTGTGAAAAGCAGCATGGCCAACAGGTCAAGGCAGGTGATTGTCCCCCTCTGCTCTGCCCTTGTGAGGCCCCACATGGAGTGCTGCATTCAGGTCTGGGGCCCCCAACACAAGAAGGATGTGGAGCTGTTGGAGCAGGTCCAGAGGAGGGCCACAAAGATGCTCAGAGGGCTGGAGCACCTCTTCTGTGAAGAAAGGCAGAGAGAGCTGGGGCTGTTCAGCCTGCAGAAGAGAAAGCTTTGGGGGGACCTTATTGCAGCTTTTCAGTACTTAAACGGAGCTTATAAAAATATAGAGAACAACTTTTTAAATTTGTACTTGGGCAGATAATGACAGGACAAGGCAGGAATGGTTTTAAACTAAGAATATCAATGTACATGTTTTAAGGAACCTGCCAAAAGCAGCCAGTTAGCAGCATTTCTGTCACGTAGGTATCTGAGATTTGATGTCACTGCCTTTACCAAGTCCCTTAACGAACATCAAAGGGAGTTGCCTGGAATGCTCTGCTTTGAGAAGGACTATTCTCTAATAAACACACTGCTCATGTTTTCCTTTACAAAATTGTTTTTTGGATCTGCTTAGGATAGTTTGTATAGGAGGAGTTGTAAGTTTGGCTAAACTAACTTTTTTTTCCCTTGGATGAACAATGTGGATTTGAATTACTTATTCCTTTGTAGATCTATTTTTTGCTTTGGCCATCTTATTTGGAGAACCTAGTATCCTGGCAGGTGATGTCAGCTTAGAAACTCTGGAGAAGTGTCTGCTTGCATTACCTTGGTAGCTGGGAGGGAATAGCTTGCATGCTGCCTTGAGAATTGATTTAACACTTTTAGGATTTTTAGTGTGGTTGATAATGTCCATGATTGCTTAGTTAGTTAGGAAGTCCAGGAGACCAATCTATCTTGAACATTTCTGTATCTCTAGAGAATGAGACTTCCAGGTAGGTAATTTGTTCTGCATCTTCACCTTGCCTAATCTACTGTGTCCTCAGTCAGGAAGTAATAATGAAGCCTGTGTTTAACCTGTCTGTTTGCTTTTACTGTGACGTTCTAATTGATGCTCACATCTGACCTGTTTCTTCCTGTGCTGTCTGTTGCAGTGCTTCACGGCCACAGCAGGGTATTAAACAATATTAGAGGAAACCGACATCAAGTCCTATAATTTCCACGCAGCTGGTTGGAAAAGCAGTTGTCACTGCCCTCTGGGTGCAGCATGGCATTTGGACTTGGTGTTCTCTGCCTGTTACTATGGGCAATAACAGGTAGGAGTTTGCTTCTTGTGTATCTGAGTCATGCAGAATGAGTGAAGCAAATGCTCCTAGAGTGTGAACGCTGGAGTGAATGAAATATGAATAAGACGAGCTGGGAAATCTTGTGGCTCTTCAGTGAGTTCTCATAAGGTACAGCTTCATAACTGGCAGTCAGTTGCAAAGGAGCAATGCATTTTTTTTTTGAGTGACTGTTTGGAGACAATTTCAGTGTGGCTGTTTCAGAGGAGATGCATGGGGCAAGAGGCAATAGAGGAAGAGTTGCAGGAGTTTTCCTTCTCTTTCTCTTGCAGGACAGAGGTTTAGCAGTGATTAATTGTTTGTGGTCTAAGCTGCCTTTTTTGCTCTGAAGTATCATAGGATGGTTGACATGTGAGAAGCAGAAATGGATTTGCTCACGTTTTCCACCTCTTCATTCCATCTTCAGACACGTATTTCCTTTTAAAGACCACAAGAAAGTCATGTAGGTTTCTGCTTCAGCCACAGAAATACAGCAATTATTTCCATAATCAGATGAAGAATGATTGATGCGATTTCTAGGTGAAGTCCAGTGATGGGTGGTGTCCCACTGGGGTTTGTATTGGGACCAATATTGCATAACATCTTTGTCAGTGACATGGACAGTGCACCCTCAGCAAGTTCATGGACAACACCAGGCTGAGTTGTGTAGTTGACACGCTGGAGGGAAGGGAGGCCATAATGAGGGATACTGACAGGCTTGACAGGTGGGCCCAAGTGAATCTCACAAAGTTCAGCAGGGCCAAGTGTCCTGCACGTGGGTTGGTGTAATCCCAAACGTGAATAGAGGCTGAGTGATGGGTGGTTTGAGAGCAGCCTTGAGGAGAAGGGCCTGGGGGTGCAGGCTGATGAGAAGCTCAACGTGAGCTGACAATGTGCACTTACAGCCTGGAAAACCAACCATATGCTGGGCTGCATCAAAAGAAGTGTATCTAGCATGTAAAGGGAGGTGCTTCTTACCCTCTGCTCTGCTCTCCTGAGACCCCACATGGAGTACTGTGCTCAGCTCTGGGGCCCCCAGCACAAGAAGGGCACGGACCTCTTAAAACAAGTCCAGAGGAGGGCCACAAAGCAGTATTTTATTAAACTATTTTCTTAATTAGCAGGAATTAAGAAAATAGTATTCAGTTATTTGTCTTACCCATCCTGTAATATAAAAAGAATTGGCTTTTTTAATGAGGGAGAGCCTTGCCTCTGTGTTTAGGCTTAAACTGATTGTTGAATTTGGAAATGGGGGGTAGGCATTAACTACAGGTATGCTGGTAGCTGTTCTGGAGCAGTCATTAGGATTGCCCTGAGGATCTTACCCTGCCAAGTTTTTTAGCAGAACATAGAACAGAGTGTTTTTTTTTGTTTGTTTTTACTAAACAGTAACTGTACCCTTTGTAAGTAATAATGAAAAAAAATAAAATAATTCTCCTATGAGATGCTGATTATCTGCTGTAGTGTCCATGCCAGTATCTTGAGGAGGAGGGGAAAAGGGGGGAGAACAAAACACAACCAAAAAAACCTCACCAACCCAACAACAGAAATCCCACCCCATACACAACCTTCAGTAGAAAGTAGTAATGTGCAGTAAATGCTGAATTTTGGTTGTTAAGAATGTCACAGTTTTGGGCTTTTGATGATATTAATTGTTAGCATGTCCTCCTTGTGCACATGGAAAGTATTGTTCTTATTCTTTAGTTGCAATTTTGCTGCCTTCTCTTGATTAATCTGAGACCAAGACCATTACACCCAGACTGCTGGCTGTATTCTCAGCTTCTCCCTGTATCAGGTACAAGCACACAGTGTTTAAAGGCTAAGCATTGTAGTATCATCCCTCCATTTATTTACATCTCAATAATTTGCTGGCATTTTCCATCCAATTAAGATCAACTCTGAACTGGAAGGTACTCACTGATTTCCAGAATATGTTTGCTGAAATTTGTGAGTAGATGCTCACCTTTGTTACATCAAAAGGACTTTTTCCTGTGTGCAATTTGAAATGTGAATTGTCTCAGGTTTGAGAAGCTACTAGATGTTTGCTCCGCAGTTTTTCTCTGCAAATGAGCTTGTGCTTCTGAAGACTACTTTTTCTTTCCCCTAAAATAAATAAGGGGAGCAGGTGGAAGGAGAAATGCAGGAAGAAAAGAGGAATCTTTTAAGACCTCCATCTGTTCCATTTTTTTATACCAAGTATTTTTTTTTACCACTCGTTTTAACTCAGATAACAAGAAGGCAGATTTAATAGAAGAGAGGTTTAACATTGCATCCTTGAGAAGGAACAGAGAAACAGGCTTATTAGTGAATTTCTTCAGAAAGATACTGAATAATAAATGCTTTGGTTTGTCAAAAGGAGTTAATGTGGTCTACTCAGTACAAAAGATGTGGAAATACTGGAGGAAGCCCAATGAATGGCCACAAAGATGGTGAAGGTAGAGCATCTCTCCTACATGGAAAGGCTGAGAGAGCTGGGACTGTTCAGCCTAGAGAAGAGGAGTCTCAGGGCTATCTTACCAGTGCAAATATCTGAAAGGAGGGTACAAAAAGGACAGAACCAGGTTCTTAGTGGTGTCCAGTGCCAGGACAAGAGGCAATTGGTGCAACCTGGAACACGGGAGGCTCTGTCTGAGTATCAGGAAACAAGAACGGGTGGTGGGTCAGGTTGCCCAGAGAGATAGTGGAGTCTCCCTCCTTGGAGATCTTCAAAAGCCATCTGAACACGGTCCCGGGCAACCTGCTCTAGGTGTCCCTGCACGAGCAGGGGGCTCTCTTACTTAGATGCCATTTATTTGTTTATTTTGTGTGTGATGGTTTTTGGCTAATGTTCAATTGGTTTTGATGAAAAACAAAACTAGAACAGTAGGCAGATCACCTAATGAACCCAGATATGTACCAGTGACCTTGACTAATGCTTCTTGGGAGGCTTAAGCTGACTGTGGCAATAGGTATTAGTGTCATACAGGTGTTAGTGCACTGTGCCTCTTGGCTGTGGTTTAACCCCAGCAGGCAGCTAAGTGCCACAGAGTACCACTAAGTACCTCTGCAACAACAAAACCATCAGTGTGTTATCAACAGTATTTTTCTCCTAAATCCGAAACATGGCATACACCAGCCACTGTGGAGAAAATGAAGCCAGCTGAAACCAGGGCAAAGTGTTAAGTTTTTCTGTGAACCTGCCAGAGAGAGCAGAGAGCCTCCATTAGGTTTTGCAGGTAGTCCCCTTGCCCAGCCAAGCAGGATGGTGTCTTGCCTGCTGTGGTAGAGGACCAGCTGGGCTCCTCCAGGGCTCTTGAAATGAGAGGGCTCGTGTAAGCAGGAGATGAGAGTGGTGGTGTGCAGCTTGAAGAAGGATGTTGGTGTTTCTTCACTAAAGGAAGGAATCCCTTTAAAATGAAGCTATATTCCATAGTGTGACTAGTTCTTAGTTTGGTTTGCTGCTTTTTTATTATATTTTTTGAGGGGCAGGCAAGCTAACCAGCTCACTTAACTAGATCTGTGGATGTGTTGGCACTGTCCTACTGCAGGCATGTAATGCTTACAGAACTTGTAGACTACTGATGGTCTGGGCACCAGAGGGCTTTCAGGGCTCATAAAGGGAAGTATTATTTTTGTTGGTAACCTGAATGCATGCTTCAGAAATTGCATGATGCTTTTTTGGCAAGGACTGTTCGGAGTAGATGAGTGCTTTAATTTCTGAGTCCATCTGACAGAAGGAAAAAATATTGCCTTGCTACCTGTTATGGGAGTGTTTTAGCAGACACAAATGTCACTATGTGACATTTCACGTGTCGCTTTCAGAAAATACTCTGTAAATAAGAAAGGGCAAGCTACATTTTACTTGAGCCCTTTGCAGTCTGGAGATTGGGGGTGAGAGAAAGGGGAATGTGAAATTAGAGTTAAGATGAAGTTCAGTAGAAGTAGATCTTGTATTTCCCATCTGAACACAATTAATAGACGCACCTCGTGTCAGGCTGATCTAGCCTCCCTTTATTTGCCCACTTTTGCCCAGTTACTGCTAGCATTTATCTCAGTTAGGTATAGCTCTAGGTGAAGCAAGAGGTGAAACTGATTACTTTCATATTACAGTACAGGATTACAGTTAGATTTAATTTAGAGCTGGCTGGGAAATAATTTTCCCATTGTATAGAAATCATCTATCATAAAGTTCGTTCCATTTCTCATCAGGATGAAATGAAGGCCATCTGACACTTTGTTTATGAGAAGGGGATGGCTAAGGTTTGTGTCTAGGACACTTGGCTGGGAGATTTAGGTTCAAAGTCATGCATTGTCTTAGGAGCATTGTGGACAAGTTTCTCTCTGCAGATAATGAAACACCATAAATTTTGTGGGAGGCTGACTACAATATCATAGCTGGTATATCAATCTGAAAGTGGCAGAATGAGATTTGAAGCTTTGCTTGACATCAAGCTGTAAGTCTGGCCCAAGGCTAGAGCTTGGATTATTCCAGTTGGTGAGTCTTGTCTCTAAAAATTTCTGGTCAGTCTTTTCTGAACAAAAAAATAATTATACTTTCAAATTTCTTTTAATTGGTTAGTCACTTTCTCCTTCAATGATGAGCTAAAGAAGGGAAAGGATTAAAACAGTACCTAGAGGATTTCTGCCTGGTCAGGTGGTGTGTAGCAGCCATACTGCTGTGAGGTCACTTTTCCCAGTCCTCTGTTTAACGCTAACCCACAAGCTCTGTCAGCTCCTCATCTGTCCCCATGCAGAGCTCTGCCCACTGCAGCTGCTCACTTACATTAAGGGCAACACCCCTTCCTTGTTTTCCTAGACTGTCCTTCCTAAAGAGCATCCATTGCAATATTCTAGCTGCAGCAGCTGTCCCCCCACATCTCTGTGATCCCAGTAAGATCATAGCCCTGTGTGCAGATCTTTTTATTCCTCTTGTTGGGAGGTGCTCCAGCTCCTCTGGGTGCCCCATCAACTTAAAGGAACAATTTGTGATGGCAGCTCATGGTCTTTGCCAGGGTTTTGTGTTCTTGGAGGTGAAAGGAAATGTGGAAGAAATAGCTTTATGGCACGTGTAAGAAAAAGTGCACAAATCATGCATCTTCTGGGTGCAGGTAAAGGTGCTTCATGTATGGGTTATTAGGCTAGGTTATTATAAGTTCCTGTTTGCTTGAGTAGATTTCTCACTGAATCTGAAAAGTGGAAGACTAGTCAGCCTCCCAGCTCCATGAAGGAGTAGCTAGAGTCAGAAAAACAGTACTTGAAGCTGTTAATCCTTTTTGTCAGCTTCCTATTCAACTATACCTAATTGCAAGCAAGTGAATTTAAAAACAAAACATAAAAAAGAAAAAAGAAAATTGCTTTTCCTGATCCTAAATAGCCAGCTCTGCAAAACCATCATAAAATTTTGCCTGCTCTATATTTTTTGCTATGTTGTTTGAGTGGAGTGGAGAGAAGTCAGTGGTTGAATGGCAGGCTGTCCTGTCAGCTTGTCCTTTAGGGTGATAGGTCAGTTGGGAACAGTCTGGGGTGCTGTGAGTGTCTCACACTGCACTTAATCTGTCTTGCAAGCTGCGCGTTCATCCCAGGCAGTATGATGCTCTCCAGGTAGTCCAGTAGCTGGACACAGGCGGTATGTTGTGAACCGCAGTTCAGCCCAGGAGTGGGTTAGCTGTGGTGTGGTTGTTGGGTATGCTTGCATATGTAGGAGATTTGCTGAATCTCTGACGAGATGTAATCCATTAAACTATCTTCTTTTTATCTGCGCTATGCTATAATATGCTATAAATGAGCTTTCTGCCACCAGTACTCCGCTGACAGCTTTGTTAATGACGTGCAAGGCAGGCAAATCAAAGTTGGTTTTCCATTGCTGTATTAGCTCCACAGTGGTGGCATCTTGTTTTCACTGGCTGAGATAGCAAGCCTGGTTGAAAACCATGTTAAGAAGAATGTGCATGTTTTACTAAATATTTTTTTGAAGCATGACCAGATTAAAGTTGCATTTTGGAGAGGAATTTTGAACAGCGGTCATAGTACATGGAAAAATGTTAAATATTGATTCAGATGTACATTATGTCAATTCATACTTGATTTAGGTATTTTGTACTTGTAATCTCTATGCTATGAAAATAATTCGGATGTCATACTAAAAGATTCCTTCCTTTGCAGTGAAGGTATAAAGATTCTCAGCGCTGGAACAAGCTCTTGGGATTTCACATGAATGGTTAAAGCAGCAAAACTTTGAGAATTCAATTCCCCTCCCTGCCCCTGTATCTTGTATTATCAAGTCCAGCATTTACATTGGTATGAGACAGCTTTTATGAAGTTTGAGTGAGATGACATGTTTCTCAAGTGGAGATCTTAGCTTCCTTCTCACTCAAATGAAACAATGAGATGTTACTGCTTCTTGTTTTTGTTTTAAAACTTATTTTTTCCCCCTGTGTTATGAGGAGTATCACAGTACCTCTTTTTTTTTGTTGTTCCCTGCTCTGTTTTTAACTATTCACAGATGACTTTGGTCTCTTTATGCTGGCATTTGTATTTGGATCCAGCCAATAAGAAACACGTGATAAAATAGAGATCCTACACTGAAAAATCCTAAGTACAAATACTACTGCAAATGGACATACTAAAAGAAAAGTAGTGGTGACATCAGTTAAATGAGTTTGTATAAGCTGGGTACTACCTATCTTCTCTCCTGACATAAGTGCTTTTTGGACATCAAAAACAATATTATGGTTTGGTTGTAGTGTTGTACCTCATGCTGGTTTTATTGTTTCAGGTTCCTATTGTGAGCAATGCAGAGAAGGAGCCACGTATGCAGGTGCAGTAATATCTCCCAACTTAGAGACTGCTAAAATTATGCGAGTTCCTCATGCTACGTCAGTGTCTGACTGCATCACAGCGTGCTGTGACCTCTCGGGTTGTGACTTGTCCTGGATGTTTGAACGGCGCTGTTACATTGTGAACTGCCAACACAAAGAGAACTGTGAACCTAAAAAAATTGAAACAGTGAAGTCCTATCTAATCTTTGTGCTGAGGCCTTCTCAGAGGCCAGCCTCGCTGCTGGGATTTGGACAGGTGATCCCAAGCATGGTCCACTCTGTGGGACGCCAGAATGAGCCATCTGAGGAAGTGAGTAGCCTGAAGGAGCTGTCTTTGCTTGGCAAAGATCTCAGCCTTGAGGAGATACCTGAATACATGGATGACTATAAAGACTTGGAGCAGGACCCATTCCAAGTGAGCATCAAACATGAACAGAAGGAGAGCACGGATTATGCTGACTGGGGCCTGATGGTGGCAGGTGAAAATGGTTTCAACTCTTCAGTGGTTGATGATGGAGATAATCAGGAAGACTTTCCTGAAAAGGAAGGGGAAGCTGTAAAAGTGGAAGGCCTTCTGAATAAAAACAGCTCTGAAGCGAGCTCTGTTAGTGAACAGCACTACATAGAGAGGTTGTCTTCTCTCCCAGAGATTACACCATTACCTGGGAAGACACCTGGAAGCAGAGCAGCTGTTCAGCTGCTTGCACAACCCAATGATGCTTTGCAAGAAGAGGTACGTGTGCCCCTCAAGAAACAGGCAGTATGGTGAGGCCACTTCACAATTCTTTTGATGAATCAAGTTAGATTGTTTTATAATGTAACCATAAAATTCAAATGACTTAGTCTTGTTATAGTGTAGAGAACACTGAAGGGGTTGTCTTAATAGGCAGATAAATTGCTGAAGGACGCTTCTCTATCAGATAATAAGGAGCAGAGCTGCTTCTAGGGTGCTGTGGGGTTTCCTTGGAATTATTCAGATCAGTAGGCTTGAACCTGTCTTAATAGAAATATTTTGGTATTCTGCCCTTCTGACACTTGGTGATCCAAATCCAAGTAGTAAGTTCAGCAGTAGTAGTGCCCACCAGCATCCACAGAGCAAGACCGGTAAGCATCAGTTACTCTATCAATCAAATTTAGCATGTTCTATGGTTTCATGTTACTAAATGCCTAATGGTGTTACAGATGTAATGGCGCTGAATAAATAACTTTGATAATGCTTTTAAAATGTGAGAAAGAGTCAAGGTACTTAAGGGAAGGAACGGTGGTTTCTTTGGACCACGACATACAATGGTGTAAATTGGATAAGTTTTTGTTCTCAGATTCCTTTCCTTGACTCTGGCAATAATAAATAAAGAACCTAAGTTAAATATCTGTTAAGTACATAAAGCCTAATTTAGATATCTAAGACATGCACTTGTTCTCTATTTATGCCAATGGGTTAGAGCATTTCTAAAGGGTCTCTGTCTCCTGCAGAAAAGAGTGGGATCAGTGGGAAAATTGAAATGGGCCGTAAAGTCATCATGCTGGGTTTGACTCATCCCCAAAACTGAGGGGGAAAAAGTAAAAATTACATGGTGTTGTCTTGATTGCCCTAAATTCCATCAGGCTTTGTAACCAACAGCAGCCTCTCTCTTGCTGTAAAAATGACAATTTATTGCCATTGTTGCAGGGAAGAAAGAGACATGAAAACAAGGAAGTTGCTTGAAATCCATGATATCTGAGGTTCTTGGAGGGTATGACCAAAGTGGCAGAAGTGTAGGCATGGAGAACATCTGGATGCCATCACAGCCTAGAGATGCAGCAGTTTCTGGACTCTGCTTTGAGATCTAGGTATCCTGAGAACTGTGATTCTTGGGACGGCTCTGGGAGTGCTGTGAGGAACATGAGAGGTGCTGCTTGTCGTGGTTCCGCTCGAGTGGGCAGCCGAGCTCCACCTCAGCCGCTCTCTCACTCCCCCTCCTCAAAGAGGAATGGGGAGAAAATATGTGAAAAGGGCTCAAGGGTTGAGATAAGGACGAGAAGATCACGCAGTAATTATTGTAACGGGCAAAACAGACTCTGCATAGGGAGATAGTAAGATTTATTGCTTATTACTAACAAGCTAGAGAAGTGAGAAACAAAGGAAAGAAACCAAAAGCACCTTCCCCCCCCCCTCATCCACCCTCTTCCACCTCCTCCCCCCCCGAGCGGCACGGGGGAATGGGGGTTATGGTCAGTCTACAGCGCTTCTTCTCTGCTGCTCCTTCTTGGTCACTCTCGTCCCCTGTGCTGTGGGGTCCCTCCCACGGGATGCAGTCCTTGATGAACTGATCTGGCGTGGGCTTCCCACAGGCAGCAGCTCTTCCAGAGCTGCTCCAGATATGGGTCTGTACCACGGGGTCCATCCCTCAGGAGCAAACTGCTCCAACCTGGGTCCCCCATGGGCAGCAGCGCCTGTCAGGTCACCTGCTCCTGCGTGGTCTCCTCTCCACGGGCTACAGGTCTGGCCTGGAATCTGCTCTGGCAGGGGTCTTCCACAGGCGGCAGCCTCCGTTGGTGCAGGTTCATCTGCTCCACCGTGGTCTCCTCCACGGGCTGCAGCGTGGAACCCTGCTCCACCGTGGTACTCCATGGGCTGCAGGGGGACATCCTGCTTCACCATGGTCCTCACCACAGGCCGCAGGGGACTTCTGCTCCGGCGCCTGGAGAACCTCACCCCCTTCCTTCTTCACTGACCTTGGTGCCTGCAAGGCCGTTCCTCACTCCTCTCACTCTCCCAGCTGCTGTGTGGCGCAGCTTTTTTTTTCCCTGTCTTAAATATGCTCTCACAGAGGCGCAAAACAACATAGAATCATAGAATATCCTGAGTTGGAAGGGACCCTTAGCTTCACAAACTTCGCTTACATCAAAAAAGAAAGAATTCACCACACCAAAATAAACATAACATCATCACAGCACCGACAAGGTGGACATGGGACTGCAGCCCGTAGAGGACATCTAGCAGGGGCTGGAACCTGTAAGAGCTTCTCAACACCTTCCCTGGCCTTTCCTAGGCTCAGCTGCTGTCCAGACACCTCTTCTCTCCACTTCATAGTCACAAGTCCCTCTTTTTGCTAAATGTTACACTCCAGTCCCTTTGGTGAGGTGTCCAGCTGCACAGGAGGTTTAGTTCAGTGCATAGCATTTTCCTTTTGTGGTTTATTGTTTCTTTGTTCTGTTCTGCCACTGCTTCTTCTTACTAACATGTTTCCTTATCTTCACTGTAGGCTTTTCTATGGGCTGTAAAAGCTCAGTAACATGAATACATTTAGAAATCTGTACAGAGTCACTGTCAGGCTGCCCAAAACAGAAATCTGCGATGCTGCACGTCCTTAAAGTGATGTTGAAGGAGAGGAAAAAAGCCAAAGGATGCTCAGAACAGTAGATTTCTATTGAATTTGGAAGGCAAAGAAACCGTTTTCTTTGTCAAAGCACGGTAAAGAAAATCTTTTTTGAAGATGTGGGATGGAGGCACTTCATTGGTAGTGAGGAAAGAATGTGAAAGAAATTCACGAGTGAATCCTGGACTGAGCAGATGTAGTAGGAGAGGCAAGGATCCTGTTGTGTGTGTGCACTCAGAGAGAACATTGGTAAAGTCTGCAATGATTATTGGCTTTTAAAGGGTTATGACTACGTCTAGATCTGCCCTACTATTCTGTTACTACTTTATTATTTTGACAATTGCTCTGAATATAAAACTTGGAAAAAAAATAGTGTTTCATGCATGGTCTGATTAAAAAAAAAAATATTTGGTAGATACTTTGCATATGAATAAAACTTTATGATTGAATATACTTAGTTTATGTGGCAAGATTTTGGTAGTGGGTGGGCTGTGGGGGTGGCTTCTGCGGGAAGAATCCAGAAGCTGCCCCATGTTAGATAAGGGCCAGTTTCAGCTGGTTCCAAAAGGGACCTGCTGCTGTCCGCAGCGATGCTGATTGGACCTTTGTGAGAGCAGATTTAAGAAAGGAGAAAAAAACTGCTGCACAACTGCAGCTAGGAGAGTGAGGAGTGAGAAGCAGCCCTGCAGCCCCCAAGGTGAGTGCTGCAGGAGGTGCTCCAGGCAGGCAGCAGCAGTTTCCCTGCAGCCTGTGGAGAGGCCCCTGGTGGAGCAGGCTGTCCCCCTGCAGCCCAGGGGTCCCACATGGAGCAGATCTCCACGCTGCAGCCCCCCCATGGGTGGAGGAGCCCCCGGTGGAGCAGGTGGATGTGGCCTGGAGGAGGCTGCGGCCCATGGACCAGGTGGCAGAGAGTGACATGAAGGAGCAGCGGAGATGAAGCTTCATGGATTGACCGGAGCACCCAGTCCCCATTTCCCTGCACTGCTCGGGGGAGGAGGTAGAAAAAGGCGGATGGGGGAGAAGATATTGGAGTTTGTTTTTTTGATTGTTTCTCACTGCTCTATCTTGTTAGCAACAAGTAATAAATTTTATTAATGTCCTTATACTGAGTCTGCTTTGCCTATGTTGAGCGATCTCCCTGTCTTTATCTCAACCCTTGAACCCTTTTCATCATATTTTCTCCTCCTTTCCATTTGAGAAGGGGGAATGAGAGAGCAGTTGTAGTGGAGTTCAGCTGCCCAGCTGAGTGAAACCACCACACTACATAAATCAGGCAAACCCAACATGCTGTTTAAAGAAAAGCGTACCTGTGAATCTATAAATGTGAAATACAAGTCATAAATGACACTCAATAACTCATTTTGCAGGTTCCTACGCATTCCCTTCTTTCAGACGAAGTGGAATTCTCCCCAGGTGTGTCAGAGAAAACCCAGACTCCCACAGTGGCCCCAGAGAACATCACCGAAGGTGGGGTCGTGCTGCTTCCCACTAATATTGTGCCATCTGAGCCCATGCAGCAGTTCCCAACTCCTGCTACTGCTCCTAAAGCAGGTAATACTTCAACATGGCTGGAGATCTGAGGGGTACCTGCAGGTTGGACAGCAGGTTGGGATAGCTTTTACTACTGTCAAGCTTTCATCCTGTTGTTATAAGCTCTTTATCCAACTGCAACATCATCCCACCTCAAGCATGTAGTCCTACAGTGCAAACTCAAGAACCTTCAGCTTGTTCTTTCTGAGGAAAAATTCTGACCAAGCCTAACATCAGTGGGAAATTATAACTCAATTAAATGCAGTAAAGTTAAAAGCAAATTAAGAGCATTTTCTTAACAGGTTATTTTTTTTTTTATTGGTGAGAAATACATAATACTTCCTGGAGTTACACAGTAGTTTCCTCTAGCCACTCTTCTGTTTTTGTGTGACTGCAAAATATTGCTTGCTCTCAGAAACTCATCAGTAGGGTTCCCACCATGTATAGTGGTACAGTATCATGAAGCAGAGCAGGTGGGACATGAGGAAGCCCAACCCTTAATAGAGGAGAACGTGGCCACTTCATCCTGAAAAAATATTTTACTCTAATTTCAAACCTGGAAGAAGGCTTCCAGCTACAGAGGAAAAGTTCTTATTTTGAAAAATATGTGTTTAATTGCTCTGCCCTGTGTAGTTGCATTAAATTCTGTGTATATGTTAGGCTATCTCTTTTCTCATGCAGAGTTTCCTGCATTCCTATGTGCCCTGACAAAGGGTTAGAAGGATCACAAGAACCAGGGAATCGCAGTTGTGTGCTCTTCTGTGCTCCTGAGGGACAGGGAGAGCTAAGCCCTTTGCTTCTTGGTGGAGCAAGTCTGGTTTGGGACATTCCTAGCACATTCTGCCAAACTAAAACATGCCAGCCAGGATAGCAGTAGGAGATAACAAAAGGAGACAAGCTTCAAGAGGGATAGCAGTAGGAGATAACAAAAGGAGACAAGCTTCAAGAGGGATCCTCTCCAAGACAATGGGTCATCATTACCACTGAGTGTTGACTAGGCAGCTCCTCCTCTTCCCTCACAGGAGGAGGCTGAAGAGGACTCAGAAAAGTCCTCTTGGAAGAAGCAGCTTGGAAGAAGCAGCTGAAGGAAAGGTTGTGATGAATCTCACTGGAAGTACTGCTTTACGCAAGGATTTCCTCAAATTGCTTTGCACAGCCCTACTGTCTCAGTTTAGGAGACAGTCCCTCCTCCTGCTTTGGTCATCACCTTCACCTAGCCATTTTGTTCTCATCACATGTGGAAGTGAAAAGATTTTTTAGAAGCACAAACCTCCACTGTTGTCAAGGGCAACTTCCACGAGCAATTCTGGACCCTCACATTTAAGTAGCAGCAACAGAAAGTGTACTGTCAGCATAACCTTTTTGCTTCATCCCTTTTTACACCCATCAGCTGCCACAGCTGAGTAGTCTCTTGCTCATCATGTAAAAGTTGGACACTTACATGTAGATACTAGTGAGTGTTGCTTTTGGAGTACCTTTATTCTGTAGACTCCCTGTAGTCAGGAACACATTTAAAACCTTTTAAAAACAGGTCTATGAGAATGTTGCTTGAAGATGTGCTTTGGGATGTTTCTGTTGGGGCTTGGGTTTGTAGACTTCAGCATTTGGGGAAGAGAAAAGAATTTGCACAGATGAGAACTGTGAGGGTGTTCCTGGATGACATGTAGACAGACTGTGCAGTTTAGCAAGGAAATAACTCTGCTGCAGTAGCAGAATTTTTAAAAGTGACACGATGAGCTGGACAGTTAGGCATGCCTATTCAAGTGCCACACAAACATAGAAGCTTGTTGGTGGAGAAAAGTCATGACACCGGTTTTAGGATGGACTATGTTACTTAATGAAGTTTAATGAAGATTCCTCTGGTGCTGATGGCTCCTTTTTGTCTTTTGTTGTTGTACATGTTTGAACTCCTGTACTTTCAACCAAATATTAAAAAAATGCATAATTCTTTATGCAGAGAAATGTTAACTGTGGTATACAAGAAAAATCAGAACTCATCTGTCTAAAGCAGGTGAGTGTAGGTGAATATTTCATATTTGTGGAAGAAAATTGTCTTGAATAGATCAGTAAAAGGTGAAGGAGCTGTAGTCATGATTATGACAGATTATTAATTGATTATGTATCAGGATTTTTTTATTTATATTTGCCTATTCATTGCAGAGCATTTGTCAAATTTTACTTAATCCATTGCAAATAATACTTGCGATGGATATAAATTTTGTGTCTTCATCTTTATAAACATAATGTACTCATTCTGTCTTAGATATAGTAAAAGAACTTGTTGTATCTGCTGGAGATAACATACAAGTGATGCTACCCAAAAATGAGGTTGAACTGAATGCCTTTGTTGTCCCGCCACCGCCTACAGGTGAGTTGAATGGCCTTGCCATACAGGAGATGCTCACGCACTACTAGCCTGTAAATGTAGATTAGTCCCAATTGATGTGAATGTTCCTGCTTTAGAATAAAATCTAATATTCTCCTTCTACCTTTTTTGTGGTTTCATCTGCAGAGAGCATTTTCTCCTTTGGATTTTAGAGATTTTGGAGTGGCTTGTATTTTCAGAACTTGAACTAATTAGCCAAATGATTCAGTAAGAAAGCCGATGATTTCTACCAAAAGATGATGTGGCTAAGGTTGCAGCGTCTTGTTGTTAAGCAGAGGTGTGAAGAACTAGGTTCTGAACACAACATTTACCTTAAAACTACCAGTTTTTGCACTGCAGCAGCAAAGAATGTGTATTTTATAGGTGGTGAATGTTTTACACAGCTACAGATGAAGCTGGTTTTTAAACTTATTTGTAAAGGCTGTTAACTTCGTTGCTACTTTACCAAGTTACAGCACACTGTGGAAGCTTAACTTGTATTCATAACACTTCATTTTGCTGGCTCAAATAATTGCAGTCATAGTTTCCTGCTGCAGCATTTTAGCTGACTGGTGAACTTAATTTCTTTGCTTCTTGGGCTTATCTTGAAGGCAGAGCTGATTATTCTTACACTATGTTATTGGTCTTAGAAACAGCCTACACCTATGAGTGGAGCTTAATCAGTCACCCTGCTGACTATGGTGGTGAAATGGAGCACAGGTACACCCAGACGCTGAAGCTGTCTCATGTAAGTGAGCTGTAAGTTCAGGCCCATGCAGTGTGTACAGGAATTTAACCTGTAATGAAGAGTACCTTTATTTGAGGAATTCCAATTACTCTCAGTTGTCTTCACTTGCATGTGTCAACAGTTCTTTTTCAGATTTCCAGAAATGCCTCTTTCAGAGTGCTCTCATAATTTTCTGAGATGGAGTAAAAATTCCAAAGTATTCCTCACCTTATGGCAGTAACCAGTGCCTTTCATGTATGTGCTTATTTGAAACCTAGAGTTCCTTTTATATCAAGATTTTTCTACGTTTACAACACAATTAACAGATTGTATGCAGATTGCATCTGTATATTTCACCATGTAACTGGATTTGTTCTGTGTATGTCTCAGTTATCGGTGGGACTTTATGCCTTCAAAGTGACGGTTTCTGGTGAAAATGCCTTTGGAGAAGGTTTTGTAAATGTCACTGTCAAACCAGGTAAATCAGCTGGCTAAAATAATTAATTTCTTCAACTCTAGTAGTATTATCTGTCTTTGTAGTAGTCTGTCAGTTATTGTCTGCCAAAGACATCTAGTAGTACAATCATGCAGAGGTGTAATTCATGTCTTGCTGTCTTTAAACCATTGTAAGTAAGTGCAGCTGAGGATCCTGCTTACTGCATTTAAGTGCTCTCTAGCCTGTGCCCTCCTGCGTCAAGACCTGAGAAGGCATCAGTGACACCTTCTGTGGTCCCTTTCTCCACTAAAACTAGGATCAGCAAGTAGGCAGTGAACAGGCTGTAGCTGTAAGTTACAGTGCACAGGTCTGTCTAAATTATACCAGATAAAAGTGGCTGCAGCAGAAGACTGTTGGCCTAAGTGCACTGCTCTTCAGTAACCTTCTCTGTCCCTTGTCCAAAAAGAACTGCAGATGCTGGACAGCTGTCAATCCTAGACTTGGATCACTGGGGACTGTTGATTTTTAGAGTTACCAGATTATCTTTGCCTGGATCTTCACAATGCTTTCCCTGTCTTTCTTACAGCAATCAGAGTTAATCAGCCACCTGTAGCAGTTGCTTCACCCAAAGTACAAGAAGTTTCTTTGCCTACAACTTCCACCTTCATTGATGGCAGTCGTATGTACTAGACCAACCTGTATTTTTAATATACAGTTAGAACACTACTGTTTATCAGTAATAAATGAAATTCCTTTGCAGTGTACTCACAGAAGTTCCCTGGATCATGATTCACATTGAGAATTCAAGTCCAATTATGAATGATTTTTAAAAAGATAATTAGATAAAATGTTTGTATGGTATGAGGCTGAATAATATTGGTTCTAGAATGAGCTGTACTTTGAAGTTCTTTCTTTCTGCTGTTCTGCCTAGCTACAGAAAATGTGATTTGATTGTGTTTAAATAAATAAAATCAAGCAGTACGTGTCAAGACTATAAAAATCCAGCCTTCAACTTGGGCAGTGTGTTAGAAGCTGCTACATCCAAACAGCATATGATCTTAAAGTATTTTCCTGTCCTTCCTGGAATCCCCATTATGGGCCTCTGTGCCAGTCTGGGTTCATTGCAGACACCTGTCATGTAAGATACAATGAGATGTCTGTGAGCTTGTTTTGAAGTTAAGCGAAGGTTTACATTTTTGTATTTACCAAGAAAAAACAAATGGGAATATGTAGTCATTCTACTTTCATGTCCAGTGAATCTGACTGAGATTAACTTTATCTGTGCGTGAAGAATATATATTTTTTTATGGTAGAGCAAACAAAATGTAACTCATAATGTGTCATTCAATAGCTGTGGTACACAAACTGTTTGAATATGCTTGTAAAGATTATTATAGAACATTGGTTAGGGATAAGTTCATGAGAGACTTTAGTATTCATACAAGCTATTGTTACAATATACTGATATGTTTTTCTTTAATTCATGTAGAAAGTATAGATGATATGAAGATAGTGAGTTATCACTGGGAGGAAATTAAAGGCCCTTTGCGAGAGCAGAAGGCGTCTGCTGACACACCTGTCTTGCACTTGTCTAAGCTTGTTCCTGGAAACTACACTTTCAGGTATGCCTGCATGGATACTTCCTTTTCAGGTTATAAGTCTTTCTTTGATGTCAGCTAGATGAACTGAAGAAACCCCCCATGATTCAGGTGGAAAGAGTTACAGACCTGCTACTCCACCTGTACTCTCACAAGTCCATTGAGCCAGATGGGATCCACCCAAGGGTGCTGAGGGAGTTGGAGGATGTGATTGCTGGGCCGCTTTCCACCATCTATCAGCGGTCTTGGTTTTCTGGAGAGATCCTGGATGACTGGAGACTTGCTAATGTGACGCCCATTTATAAGAAGAGTTGTAAGGAGGACCTGGGGAACTTCAGGCCTGTCAGCCTGACCTTGATACCAGGAAAGCCAATGGAACAGGTCATCTTGAATGCAATCACACAATACCAGTGGGGTGATCAGGGCCAGTCAGCATGGGTTCATGAAAGGCAAGTCCTGCCTGACTAACCTAATCTACTTCTATGACTGGGTGACCCTCCTGGTGGATGAGGGAAAGGCTGACGCAGTCTGCCTAGACTTCAGCAAGGCTTTTGACACAGTCTCCCACAGTATTCTCCTGGAGAAGCTGGCAGTCCATGGCTCGGACAGGTACACTCTTTGCTGGGTTAAAAACTGCCTGGACGGCTGGGCCCAGAGAGTGGTGATGAACAGAGTGAAATCCAGCAGGTCATGAATGGTGTTCCCCAGGGGTGGGTGTTGGGGCCCCATCCTCTTTAATATCTTTATTGATGATTTGGATGAGGGAATTGAGTGCACCCTCAGTAAGTTTACAGATGACACCAAACTGGGGGAAGCGTCGCTCTGCTGGAGGGTAGGAAGGCCCTGCAGAGAGACCTGGACAGGTTGGGTCGATGGGCAGGGGCCAATGGGATGAGATTCAGCATGGCTAAGTGCTGGCCACAACAACCCCATGCAGGCTTGGGGGAGAGTAGCTGGAAAGCTGCGCACAGGAAAGGGATCTGGGGGTGTTGGTCAGTGCTCACCTGGACATGAGCCAGCAGTGTGCCCAGGTGGCCAGGAAGGCCAGCGGCATTCTGGCTTGTATCAGAAACAGTGTGGCCAGCAGGACCAGGGAGGTGATCATCCCCTTGTACTCTGCTCTGGTGAGGTCACACCTCAAGTACTGTGTTCCGTTTTGGGCCCCCCAGTACAAGAAAGGACATGGAGGCCCTGGAACGTGTCCAGAGAAGGTCTATGAAGCTGGTGAAGGGCCTGGAGCACAAGTGCTGTGAGGAGCAGCTGAGGGAACTGGGGTTGTTTAGTCTGGAGAAGAGGAGGTTCAGGGGAGACCTTATTGCTCTCTACAACTGCCTGAAAGGAAGGTGTGGGGAGCTGGGGTTCAGCCTCTTCTCGCAGATAACCAGTGATAGGACTACAGGGAATGGCCTCAAGTTGTGCCAGGGGAGGTTCAGGTTGGAAACAGGAGAGATTTCTCAGAAAGAGCAGTCAGGCATTGAAACAGGTTGCCAAGGGAGGTGGTGGAGTCACCTGGAGTCACTGTCCATGGGAGTGTTAAAGGAAAGGTTGGACCTGGAGTTTCAGGAAATGGTTTAGTGGGCAACATTGGTGGTAGGGGGATGGTTGGACTGGATGATCATGGAGGTCTTTTCCAATCTTAATGATTAAATGTTTGTTTGGTTTTGAGCTCATGTCTACCTCCTTAAAGAGCTTCATTTTTTTTCTGTATGCTCTTCACCTTCATTTTGCACAGTAGAGAGAGATAGGGACCAGTTTCATTAAGAAGTGCTTGCTGTGATTTTGTGATACTGGTGTGATGATGCTTTGCAGCACAAAGTGACACCTCGTTTTGCATAAGAAATGAAATAAAATGAAATAACCTCCCACTTCCTGCAACAGTAAGTGGGAGAGAACATCTTTTATTTCTTTTCAGCTTAGAACTTGGCAAATGTCCTGACATGAGACTGCAGTCAGGATGTGAAAGTCATCCCCTGAGTGGTGGTGGCAGACAGAACAGTACTGGGAGACTGATCTTTGCAAGGCGATGTGGTGTGCTGATTTTATAAGAGTAATTCTGTTCTTTCTAAAAGCCATTGCTTTGCTGTTATTTTCTTCCAATTAATCCTTGCAAAATCCACTGGATTTTGTCCAGACAACAGAAGCAATGTTTGCAGTCCTGTGTGCTTTAATTAAAATCAGGGTTCATTTTCTGGACTTCTTAATTTAAAGCCTCATCCTGTACCTGTGTGCTTTCCACTGAACCAGCCTTGGCTGCCAGTAGGTAACAGCCTGCAAGTGGATACATCAGATATCAGTGTAGCATCAGCAGAATGTGGAAGCCTGCTGATGACCGGTGTACATGTATGTGAAACATGGTGCTTTGCACAGGCATCACGAAAAATTGCTTCAGCTTCCATTTCTCTGTTCTTTACTGGAGTTGTGCCATGCTGTACAGTGGCAGAAGTGAGAGTAAGATTACCTTTCCTCTATTGAAAAGGACAGAGTTCACTTACAAGCAGTGCTGTTAAGTGTATTCTGCACACAAGGGAATTAAGAAATCACTTCCTATATTCATGTGCCTTTAGGAGAGGATGAGGTACTTGAACAGGCTATGTACTCTACTGTTCAAGCTCACAGGAAATTAGTTGGAAAACAAAATCCAGGACTCCTGACACACATGGCTGAGCATCCACTGCAAAAGTATGCATTCCCTAATGAGAGGACTAAGGAGCACTAGTTTTGTTCTCACTTGTGGAAGGCTTCAGGAGTGATTCCCTTCCATATGTTCAGCTGTATACAGTAGTTGCAACAGCAGTTCATTAGAGATGTAGTTGATTACCCCACTGTGGAGGTCAGTCTGTCATCGCTTTCAAGTCTCTCACTTTTAGGTAATTTGCCACTGTGTTTCTGAAAGGCAATAGTGATTGTTTAAACCCTGTGCTACATTTAGTTTTGTCACTTGATGTCTCCTTCCAAAATCAGAGCTGATGGTAAAGTCCATTAATATTAGTAGCAGCATGTTACAAAGAAATAAGAAGTTACAAGCTGTTTTTGTGCTATGACAAACAGACTTTCTGAACACTCAGAATTGTTCTGGGTGTAGTTATTAACAGGGGCTGTTGGAGTATAGCCAGTGAATGAAATCCTGTTTTTTACTGACGAAAACTTTGAAGGTTTTGTAGCAAAAGCTATTTGAAATGATGGAGTTGCTGTTGGTTGCAGGGAACAGTTTTTATCTGGGATCCAGAATAGCTAGGCCTTTTTTTTTTTTTTTAGGTTGTAATATGTTGTTGAAAATCAGACTTCTGAGTTTCTTTCCAGCCTTAGTTCAAGTCTTTCTGAAGCAGAAGTTCATATAATCTAGATCAGCGACTCTGGTTTACGTATCGATTTTGCTCTCTTCACATACCAGAAAAATGTGAATTTTTGACCTTATAACTTAGCAGCAGTCTGGTCTAACAATTTCCAATATTGTTTTTTCCTATTGTAGGCTCACAGTGATTGATTCAGATGGAGCAGCCAACTCCACAATTGCATCTCTGACTGTCAACAAACCAGTGGATTACCCACCTATTGCTAATGCAGGACCTAATCAGGCAGTCACCTTGCCCCAAAACTTCATCACACTGAATGGAAACCAGAGCAGTGATGACCATGAAATTGTCAGCTATGAGTGGTCACTCAGTCCCAAAAGCAAAGGCAAGGTGGTAGCAATGCAGGTATGTCTATCTCTCTTTATGTAGTATTAGAACGCTCTTTTATCTTTGCCTTTCTATGAAGAAACACATACAAAAGTAACTATTCAGGAGTACTAAAATACCCAGAGTGTTGCTGTTTCTCTCTGAGGTATTCAGCTTTTTCAGATATTACTTCTAATTCCTTCTCATCATCACTTTTTTTTTTTTTCTTTCATGCTTTATTGTCATTTCTCCTTCTTGCTATTGTTTGTTCCCTGGGAGTATGAGAATTTGCTCTGACCATGAACCCTATTACCTGCTCCACAGGTTTGCATCTTCTGAGAGGCTAGACTTGCCACAAACTGTTTTTGAGAGAAGGTAGTGGTAATCAGCATCTTCTTTAAACAGTTTGTCTTCCTGGAGAAAGTAGCGCCTGAGAAAGAACTCTGGTTTTTGAATGAAAGATCACAAGACTTCTGTCAGCTTTCTAACAGTTCACACTGTTTGGTGTTTTTTATGCTCACTAAAACATGAGTTTCCTATGAAGGCAAAATGATTTTATGCTCTTTTATGGTGGCGTATTTATTTTTTCTTTTACTGTATTTTTTAAATCTGAGAATTGAAGTCAGTAACAGTTTTCAGTTAGATGACATCAGTTGCTCTTCCCTTTTCCACCAATGCTGTAACCCCGCTGTAGAAGGCCACCAGATTTGTCAGGCACGATTTGCCCTTAGTGAAGCCATGTTCACTGTCACCAATCACCTTCTTATTTTCCATGCTCCTTAGCAGAGTTTCCAGGTGGATCTGCTCCATATCCTTTAGTTCACACGAGACTTCCCTGGAAAAGACGATAATTGCAATTGATGAAGAAGGAAATTGTGATTTTTGTTTCTCATGAGATATGCTTTAAATGCTGTTAGCAAAAGAACATACAGCTGGGCCTAGCCTTATTGTGAGTTTATATATAAGTCAAGTATGCTTTTGCATTTAATTACTTGTTTATGTGTTTAACTGTCTTTCATAAATAAATATTATGTTAATCGATGTCATGATTTTTTTTTTAATAATTTTATAGTATCTTTCATTGGTGTTTAATTTGCTAATTGAGAAAGTTAGTTTCCCATGTGTTCGTTACAATTACTGTTGTCCAGAAATAATGCAGCGATTATAGTAACATAAGAAATTAAGGTTTACTGTCTCTATATAGGTCTCTGAGTTGGTAGACAGCTGCAATATTGGGTATATGACATCTGTGCATCAAATTTTAAGTCTACTCTTTGTCTGCAAGGTGCTTCCACTGCTTGCTCAAGCAGTGAATTATTATTATTGTGAATTAAAACAAATTTTGTTTTTCCTCCACGTTTGCTCTCTAAGATGTTTTGAGCTTTTCTGTATCCATCTCTCTTCCTCTACCCTCCCCCCTCCCTGCTGTGTAGGGAGTGCGGACTCCGTACCTCCAGTTATCTGCAATGCAGGAAGGAGATTATACTTTCCAGCTGACTGTCACAGACTCGGCAAGGCAGCGCTCCACAGCTGAGGTCACTCTGATAGTACAGCCTGGTAAGTTGACTGCAGGCATGTCTGGGTCCCTCGGGGTGGACCAGCCTGATGCCTTAGCACCAGCCTCAAATACCTCATCTCCCTGCATTGCACCACTCAGGTGGCAGTCTGAACAGCCGGTATCCCTGCATCAAGGACTCTTCCACCTCCATTTTCTATCAAAGCAAACAATAGAACAGAACTGCAGAAAGTCCGGATGGTGATCCTGAAGGCTCCCACCAGCCTGATTATGTAAGGCACCCTGCACAGAGATGTTTGAGTGTACTTCTAACAACTAAAATGTAGCTCTCAGTTTAATATCCTGCAAAATCTGTTTTGCAAAGGTGTTCGATATATCAATCAATGTTTTACTCAATTTTCTTACTGTTTTGTAGTTCTTGAAGAACCCTTGTGTGATATGAATTCTCCCTAGAATTCTGTTGCATGTTCTAAGGGGGGGAAAGTCAAGCGAGTAGTTTTCAAAAACTGCTTCTTTCACTTGGTTGTTTAGATTTGGAAGCTGAATGATGAACAGGTCCAAATGGACCAGGCCGTTTTTTATATTTTTTTTTACTTTTACTGTTTTTTTAAATGGGGATGTGGGTGGGGGAGAGAGTTATGTTTGCCTGTTGTAGATTTTCACATCCAAAGTGGCCTTTTCTGAAGGTTTCATATTCTACTATAGAGCAATGTGGTGTCTCCCCGGTGTTGCTTATTCTACAGCTTTTTGTAGATGGCCCCTTCTGGGGAAACTTTATAACGGGCATTTAATGGAGAAATCAGGAAGATAAATCTCAAGTACATCATATGGTGGTGCCTTTTAGATTGGTGATAGTGTGGAAATGGGAAGGAGCTATTGCTGAAGGCAGGTCTAAGGGAAAGTAAATATTCAGGAAAATGGTAGTGTTCGTGGATCACCATGCCACAACAGCAAAGGTTGAAAACAGCCTAATAGGTTATGTTTCTGCACTAAATATTCAAAGGCTTGAAACTGATGTTAGGTTAGTGGCATTGCACTGACATTGAGCAGCAGGAAACCTGTGTCAGTTCTTTTAAGGTAAAGAACCATATTCACGTGGGTAGTTTGAAAGGGTCACAGTGGTGGAACTAGATCAATACCACACTGCTCTTGTCATAGAACATTCTGATACGATGTACTGAGTGGACTGTAAAGTTCATGGAGTGTGACTGTGAAAAAGGGAGAACTTGCTGTGGAATTTGGCTTGTTACAGAGCTCATTTCTCCCACCTAGCGCTTTTTGCTGGGTTGAGCATATTAGATGTGTGACTCACAAGTGTATCTATGGGAAGGTGGTGGAACACCTAACCCTGGAAGCCATTTGCAAGCACATGAAGGATAAGAAAATCATCAGGAGCAGTCAGTGTGGATTCACCAAGGGGAAGTCATACGTGACCAGCCTGATGAGCTTCTGTGATGAGATGACCACCCTATTTTATAAGGAGAGAGTAGGCAGTGAGGTAGGTTGAAAACTGGCTGAATGGCTGAGCCCAGAGGGTAGTGGTCACTGGTGCAAAGCCTAGATGGAGGCCTGTAATGATCAGAGTACCACATGGTATTAGGTCCTGTCCTGTTCAAGAACTTCACAAATGATCTGGACAATGAGGTAGAGTGCACCCTCAGTAAATTTGTGGATGATTTAAAAAAAAAAAATGGGTGTGTCTCACCAGAGGGTCACGTAGCCATCCAGAGGGAACTAGACAGCTGGAGAGGTGGGCTGACAAATTTCATGAAATTCAACAAGGAGAAGTGTGGAGTCCTGTACCTTGGGGAGGAATGACCCCAGGCACCATTATGTTCTGGGCGTCACCCAGCTGAAAAGCAACTTCGCAGAAAATGGCTTGGGGCTCCTGGTGGACACCAAATTGAACATGAATCAGCAGTGTGCCCTTGCCACAAAGAAGGCTAATGGCATTCTTGGCTACATTAGTAGATTCAGCCAGTATCACCAACAGGTAATTAATTACCTGTCAGTGTTGGTGAGGCTGCCAGTAGAGCAATATGTCCAGGTCTGGGCTCCACAAGAGAGATATGGAACTACTGGAGAGAGTACAATGAATGGCCACAAAGGTGATGAAGGGAGTGGAGCATCTCTCCTGTAAGGAGAGGCTGAGAGACCTGGGACTGTTCAGCCTGGAGAAGAGGAGGTTCAGGGGTATCTTACCAATGTCTATAAATACCTGAAAGAAGAGTGCCCAGTGACAGGACAAGAGGCAGTGGGCAGAACCTGGAACACAGGAGGTGTCATCAAGAAGCACTTTACTGTACAGGTTGGTGACGAAGCACTGGCACAGATTGTGCAGATAGGTTGTAGAAACTCCCTCTTTGGTATCTTTGGAAGCAGTCTGGACATGGTCCTGGGCCATCCGCTCTAGGTGTCCTTCCCTGAGCAGGTTGGTTGGACCAGATGACCTCCAGAGGTCCCTTCCAACCTCAGCCATTTCGTGATTTACACCTTTGAGCATATATACAAGGCTTGTGATCTAATATTCTGTGTAAAATCTTTCCTCTGATTGACAGTCCCTGATGGTGCAGCAAATGTGATGCACTAAATATTATTTTTACAGAAAATAACAGTCCTCCAATAGCAGTGGCTGGCCCTGACAAGGAGTTGACCTTCCCAGTAGAAAGTACAACACTGGATGGAAGCAGAAGCCAAGATGACCAAGGCATTGTCTTCTATCACTGGGAAAATATCAGGTATCTAGAGAGAGATGACTATCTCTGGTTTAAAAATAAAATACAAAGTGAAAGTGCTTGAGTTCCAGAGCCTCTTAAGCAGTTGTGTTGGGTGACGCAGTATTTGAAAACTGCTTTGAGGCTTTTCTTTCTCAGGTGGTAATAGGGTGAGAGACAATAATTTATGTCCAAATTGGCCTGCCTATGTTTTTCTCTGTATCATCTTGAGTTACAAAGTTATTTTATGAAAAAGTTACATAAACTCAATAAATCTCACAATAAAGTGAGTAACAGGCTTGGGTACTTTCCTGTAATGGTACTTTGGTACTTCCCTATAATGTACTCTTTTTTTTTTTTCTACTGTCAAGTGTTTTCTCAGTCACTTCTATTTGTTGAATAACAAAGTAAAATCACAATCTATTTATCCTGAGCTTTCATTAGTCGATGACTAAAACACTCTTGAATAATGATTGAAAATACTTTATAGAAGTTTGTAGTAAGGATCAAGCTAATTGATCCTTAATAACAGGATGAAGGTATTAGCCACTGTCCTGTCCGTGGTACAGAAAGAGGTTTGGTGGCACCCTGGCCTTGTTGTAAGCGGCTGTTAGACCAACAGCATTTGCATGCTTTTATGGAATAGTTCAGCAAGGAGGCTGGACTCTTGGGCTCCATTTTGTGCTCTTCTAATTACAGGGTATATGTTGGTTGAATGTTTTCAAAGTTTGCAGAAGACTGAATTATAAATTTTGATCTAAATTCTTTGTTATAATTCTCTTATCAGTGCTTGTAGAAGTGGTAGAACCCCAGTATCCATAATGGCAAATGGTGTGAGTGATGCTGCTGAGAGAAAAATTTGTCTGGCTTTGCAGAATTATTTTTCATGAGATGTTTTGTTTCAGTGGGCCAAGCTTTGTACAAATGGAAAACGGTGACAAAGCAGTAGCAACTGTGACTGGTCTACGGGTTGGCACCTATCGCTTCAGGCTGACAGTAAAAGACCAGCAGGGTTTAAGCAGTGCATCTGTGCTGTCTATTACTGTGAAGGAAGGTAAGCCTAGTTGCTGCTGCTTAGGATGTGGTAGGCGATTTGCCAGTTAATTCAATCACTGACAATGTAACAGAAATTGGAACAGATAATGCATTTGTTGTCATGTTTCAAGGGTGCTCAAGAAGAGTTGCCGTCATTTTGTAATAAAGGAGTAATGAGATTAACTGGTAAAACGGATTCACTTCCTACATTGTTTTCCAAGTTAAATACATGCAGAATTAGGTGTAATAAAAATACTCCAAAATATTTGACCATAATGCCTCTAGTTCCATAAGAGGATATGTTTTAATTCTACTCTTAAAGTTAAGCTTTGATCAGAAAAGCAATTTTACTCACTTTTAAGTCTCATCCAAGAAATGAGGTTTCATAATATGCCAATTTCTACTTTAAAACTTAACATTAAAAGACTTGTATTTATTTTGATTTTGCTAAACAGTTATGTTTTAACCTGGCTGATTAGGAAGAGGCAAGGAGATTGCCTCTGTCACAGAGAACTGTGCTGTTCTGAAGCACAGAGCCAGTGCACTGGACATCTGCCTGAAGTGTAATGATTTATATCCAACCTAATATTCAGACCAGTGAGGTATTCTGTTCAGTGTCACAGCTTTCTGGAACTCTGTTTTATCAGTTAAAAAAGTCCAGTGATGTCTGGCTTCTAGAAAGAAAATGGTTTTGTGTTTCTCTGGTGTTTTTGGCCGTACTTCCAATGCATGCTCTAACTTCATTGCTTACAATGAGCAAAAAGCATTTGGGAACTGTATTTACTAGTAGAGACACTTTGCTTTAATATAGACATTGTGAAAATGTAAGGGCTTTACGCAAGCCTCTATTAAGAACTGAGTGATGGTTTCTGGAGGAGAGAAGAGCCTGGCGTCGTGATGTCATGCTAGGCTGTGCTTCTAAGCAGATAGAAAAAAAATTGTTTGACTGAGATAATCTGATGTTATTGTGAGACTGTAAATAGAGTATCCCACAATGCTTTTTGTAAAAGATCTTTTTGGATGGTGTTTCTTGTTGCTATTCTACTTGTGGTGCAGCTCTGCTTTTGTTAGATTACAATAATCTCAGAGCCAAATTCTGTACACTCACTCATCATTTCCCCATCCATTTGGCACAAGATTCTCTTGCTACTGTCTCTAATCATCAGGTAGAGAATTGCAGTGTGGGTGTATTGGCAATTGCATGTCACATCTCACATGATTTGAAAGCAAATCCTTTTCCTCCACTATTTTTATGGCTAGAAAACAACAGTCCACCCCGGGCACATGCTGGTGGGAAGCATGTGCTGGTGCTTCCCAATAACTCTATTACCTTGGATGGCTCAAGATCTTCCGATGACCAGGGGATTGTGTCATATTTGTGGATTCGGGATGGTCAAAGCCCAGCAGCTGGGGTAAGTTTCTTGAAGGCTTTAACTGGAGTCAAATTTTGAATTATGCATGTAGCTTCACTGCAGCAGGGCAAGCAGATAACGACTCATGAGCTGCTATGAGAGGGATGGTATCTATTTCTGGTTTGTCTTCCCAGCTCTCTCTAATGCTTTGGTTCAAGAAGCCTGGTGGTGTTTACAAGTACAGCTGTTGAATATCTTAGTTAAGAGGACTGCAGCAGTCTAGATTTGGTTGGGAAAGACTTGAGACAGAAAAATAAAGTCATGACCCTTCACTACTAATCAGTGATAGTAATGAGCTAACGTGTTTGAAAGAAAATAATCTGAAATCCAGGTATTCCAAAACAGGAAGGCTCTAAGATCATGAGAAGTGCCAATATATATGAAGGAATTTTGTCTAGTACCAGATGAGGTGAGATAGCCAGTTTGTTATAATAACAATGGTGTTTAGTGCTGGATGAGTAGATAGTGCTGGATGAGTAGATATCTTGCCTAGCAGATTACAGGGAATAGCCCCGACATTAGGGCAGTGGAGTCTTCTCTGGCTGTTGCCAGACAGCTGAATTACTCCTGATAAGCTGAAGTTCACATGTCAGCTACTAAAACTGTGATAAGTTCTTCATTTGCCTATGCCCACAAAGTGTTTTAGGCAGCTCTTCACAGCCAGAAAGGCAGTGGCAAATTGACAAGAACTGGGAGAGGAGAAACAGCAAAACGACAGCAAAATTTAGAGAAGCAATTCGCATAAAGATATGAGGAGAACTGAAGAGGTTTAACTTAGAGCTTGCAGAGATGATCATTGGAAATACATGAGCACCAAGGAGAGGAAATGATTTAGGATTTAGTATGTAAGAAAGCAGAACAAAGGATTGAGAAATACTAATGTAACTGTCAGATCTTCAGGCAGATGAGTACTTGAGGATGTCAGCTGTTATATCTGAGTCGTATGGTTTTTTTTGTTTGTTTGTTTTTAAGAAAAAGCATTCTTACTGTGTGCAGATATCCTCATTTAACTCCCACTTCCAAATTTGTAGTTTTGTGCTATAACCAGGGGCACATCACATTTGTCCAAAAGCCAAAGCAAGAATCCACACTGTTATATAAGATATCTGAGTTGATAGTCACACCTGCAATTTTCTCTGAGGGTTATAATCATTCTTGTATTTTTATTTTTTTTTCAGGATGTGATCCGTGGCTCAGACCATGAGGCAGTACTGCAGCTAACCAATCTGGTGGAAGGAACCTATACTTTTCACTTGAAAGTGACAGATGCCAAAGGAGATTCAGATATTGACTCTGCCACTGTTGAAGTGCGGCCTGGTATGACAATTAAAAGGTCATCGATACGTTGTGAATACCTCATCTTTGTTCTCCTTTTCACTTATTTCAGTGTTGAAAAGATTCTCTCAGGTTAAAACACAAAGTCTGTCTATCTTCCTACCTCTCAATCAACCTGTGTGTAGAGAACAAGGCACATCAAGATTGTTCTCTCCAACCAATTACATCACTTCTGTACTGGAGATATGAAAATCATACTTCTTAGTTAATGTTTTCACTTGGTTACTCTGTTGCTTTTCATTTCTTGCGTTTCATTTTTTTTCTGGTTATTAATTAGTTCATCCAGTTAGGACGATGAGAGCTGAGCACAAAGTTTAGGTGCAAATGCTGCAATAACATGTTTGATTGTTGAAAGTGTACTTGCGTTATTTTTTTCCTTCTTTCATTTTGAAGGACAAAAACCCCAAAGACTTTCTTTTCTTTTTTTAAATTGGCTTTTCATGGTCTGATATTGCTCGTATGTAGTCTTGTTTTCAATTGTAGTCTAGACGGCTATGTGATAGAAGTATAGGTTGAGGTCTCAGGATATTAGCATGAAGTCATGGGTCTGTCACAGAGTTCTTATTTGACTAGTTCCTGAGCAATGATTTTATTTATTCCTCACTTTGTTGTTGAATGTAGGACACAATAGTTGGCTCAGAATTCTCATTGCATATCTGTGAAGCTTGTTTAGTTTGCAGAGCACTCTAGAAGTGCAAGTATTATTTAACAACTCTCAATTTTTTTGAAGGGAAATATATTTGGTATTTCTGAAGCTGACCATCCTCAATTAGACTCACACAGTTTTGCATATTACCATGTGAGTTCATCTTTGAGTCCTTTCTCTGGTTGGTAGCCAGTAGTAGATCACTAGCAGGGAACTTAGGAATTAGACTTATGTAGTGTAAGATGACATCGTTTCAGATGGCAGCATTTAGGGAAACAAATTGTTATTCTGTGCAAAAATATGGTAATGTTGAACTGAAGTACGCACTGAAGTGCCTTTTTCCAACTAGTATAAAATGAGATGCTATCTTAGGACCTACCAGATTTATTTCAGAAGCAATGTGAAGATGTAATGTGAAGGATAAGATACCCTTATCCTAGTAGTTTATTAAGAACACAAAAGAGGTGGATTGTAAGAGATGGTGGTCTTAAGTAGGAAAATACAGTATTAATAAATATTTTTGGTACTGAGTGTTGTCTTTAGTTGATAATGAAATATTTGCCAACCTCTGATAGCATATCATCATCATCTCCTGTTAGATCCCAAAAGGAGTGGTCTGGTGGAGCTGATTCTGCAAGTTGGAGTGGGACAGCTGAGTGAACAGCAGAAGGACACCCTGGTGAGACAGCTGGCTGTATTACTGAATGTCTTGGATTCAGATATCAAAGTTCAGAAGATACAAGCCTACTCAGATATAAGGTACAAAGATGCCCTGCTGTGCCAGGAAGATTTGTGATTTTCATTGAGTGTCTCACAGCTCAGATTTAGTTACAAAATAACGTGGAAAAAATTACCAAAAATGCTGTAGCTCTCAACGGTATATATTTTAAGAAGTTACTTTCTTCTGTGGTAGAAAATTGATGAAGTGAGCTCTCCAAAGGCTTAGGTCTGAAATGTTTTATTTAAAACAAACAAACAAACAAACAAAAATACTTCCATACAGGTGATCAGGTTTTTTTATTCCCTTCATTTTTTTTCATTCCTTCAAAGAAAGCACATGCAGAAAATCCAGTGTCTCTGTTCCATATTGTACTATTATTTTTCCTGAATGCTGGCTGGAGTAAGACAGACAGACCATAGAGAAGCAAGTACTGTATTTCAAAATAAGTTTTCAGCTGTATCTGCTCAAATTTGTTTTATTGTCCTTTTGTTCTATTTCCTCTCTAAGGTTTTGATACTCTAAATACTTTATATACTTTTCTCCAGGTAACTGATAACAAAAATCCTTTTTCATAGAGAAAACATCAGACTTTGTAGTATGTTGTATGCTACATGTAGTATCTTACTCAGAGCAGATACCTGCTCTACTTAGGTTAGAGGGGTGGAGATGGCTGTATGTAGCCAGAACAGCTTCACGGCATGATTGATTAAAAACCTGTTGACATGAGTTATCTTACTTTAAATTACTTATTGCTAACTGCTTGGTGATTTTAAACCTATTTTGTTATCTATTCACTTCTCTGGGAACCTTGTAAAATTGAAAGGAAGGGGGGAAAAATAAATATAGCATGTATAGCTATAATACTTGAATCACATCTTCCAGCTACTGATTTTCAGCTTCAGATGTTCCCTGAAGCACATGACATGGGATGAGATCAATGCCACCCAATAAAAAAAAACTGCCACAAGTTTCTCTTGATCCTATGTTTTTCCTCTTCTTAAATTCAGTTTTCTAAAGTTACTCTCACTGCTTCAGAGTGCTTTGTGGCAGGTCCTAGACAAGAGGAGGGAAAGCAAACGTTGCATACGTACTTCTCTTAAAGTGAGAGTCAGGAAGACCAAGGAGGGAATTAATTTCTTGTTGTTCTCAACATTCTTCTGTGAAACCAAGGAGCCAGAGAACTATTGGTGTTTCTGGGTCAGAATGAAGTACAGTAGTCATGACATTTGGATAGACATAGAGTTGCCACATCTGTATCAGAGGTGATACAGAAACAAGCAAAACAAAGGCTGTAAATTAAATGCCTGACAAAAGTAATCTTTGACCATAGTCCTAAACTATGCTGTTCTCTCTGCAGCACTGCAGTTGTATTCTATGTCCAGAACGGGCATCCTTCCAAGGTGTTCAAGGCATCGGATGTCTCTCGAACTCTGCATGTGCAGCTTTTGAAAGAGAAGGCTGACTTTCTGCTTTTTAAAGTCTTGCGGGTTGACACGGCTGGTATGTTTGCCATCTGGTGTCTGGTGCTTGGATTTTTCTTTCTGAAAGATGACATTGAAGACAATATTTAAAATGCATGCTCATTTGTGACAGACTGGTGCCAGTACTTGTGTTCTGTTAAAATACGTGCTTTTGCATGCTGTTAGTCTTATCTGTTCTGCATCAGAAAGTCCTGGGGAATGAGGAGAAAGGTACCCCACTCATACCATCTTTTGTTGGAAGATAGGCAAAACTTAATGTAGCCATAATATAGAATGTTCAATGTCTGGTTCGTTCAAGGCTTTTAGTGTTCAGTGATGGACTTGTAATGTAATTTATTTTTATCTGTGTATAGCAGGCAAAATGGTCAGGTCATCATTGTGGTTTAACCTTGTCTTCTAGTGAGATTATATGTGCATCACAGACAGGCCTCTGAGGTTTCTCATAATGAACTTTTTCTTTTCTCCTAAATGAATTTTGAACTTCAAGATCTAGCCTTATATTAAACTACTCTAGTAATGTGAACCCTTTACGATCCTCAGATATTACAGATATGACTACCTGTTAGATTTAAAATCAGGAGACTGTGATCCAAATGAAAATAGTGAATAAACTCTAGCACTTAAATAGTCATAAATTCTGTAATAAATTCTGGCTTTGTTCACCTGTTGAAAATGATTTGTTTTATTCTAAATGTACTTGGATTACCAAAATGTGTAGGTATCACTTGAAAATGGTCCTTAATGTTTTCCTGACATGGCAAATCTGCTACTGTAAGTTTAAGGGGGGGGTAACTTTTTTTTTAATTTTATTCTAACATACATTGATCTAACAACAGGTAGTACTGTACGCAAATAATACATAAATGTTCAGGCCTCAGTTGCTGGAGTTGAGTTTTGAAATACTGAAATATGCTATAGTTTATCAGTGTAATGCTTTCCTTACAGTACCTGTGAATACTAATACTCTTTAGTTCTCAGGTACTTCAGGAGTTCTTAAAAATGAGTCATAAAGAAAGGAGGAGGTCTGAACTCTGTAACTTCAACTCATCTTTACTTATGTTTGGAATAAGCTGATGTTGACTTGGATATAATTTCAGTATTGTATGTGTAAGATATTCTCATCTTTTCACAGCCTGCTGAACTGTGCAGCTATTTAATATGTAACATCAAAGACAAGAGTTTTTAAAAAGTATGTCAGAATGTTATGAACTAGATGCTTTACCACCAATCTAGTCCTCACAGTAAGAGAATGCATGGCAAGTTGACCGTTTACACACCTAATCTATGTTTGGCATTATTCATAGCATGTCTTTTAAAATGCTCTGGACATGGACACTGTGACCCTATAACAAAGCGCTGCATTTGCTACCAGCTGTGGATGGAAAACTTGATTCATCGTTACCTAAATGATGGCGAGAGTAATTGTGGTGAGTTTGCATGTTGTGGGATGTATTCCAAGAATCATTTGTCTTTTTGTGAGACTGTTGAGTATTTGCCATCAGAATGGGGTACTTACATAGGAGGTAGATGCTGCAGAAGGGTTAGCACAGTCTCTTTATTGTTCAGCCTACAGCCTACCAACCAAAATGATAGAATCATATAATTGTTTAGGTTGAAAAAGACCTCTAAGATTGTCAGGTTCAACCATTAAGCTAGCACTACCAAGTCTTCCACTAAACTATGTCCCTAAGCAACACATCTGCACATCTTTTGAATACTTCCAGAGATGGTGACATCGAAACAAGCTGCCCACTTTCCTGGGCAGCTTGTTTCGATGCTTCACAACCATTTCATCCAACCTAAGCTTCCCCTGGCACAACTTGAGGCCATTTCCTCTTGTCCTGTTGCTTCTTGCGTGGGAGAAGAGCCTCTCACTGCATCTTCCTTTGAGGTAGTTGAAGTGATAAATTCTCCTCTGACCCTCATTTTCTCTAGGCTAAATAACCCCAGTTCCCTCAGCAGTTCCTCATAAGGCTTGTTCTCTAGACCTTTCTCCAGTTTTGTTGCCCTTTTTGGACACTCAGACAGATCAACACTCATGCACAACTTAGTGTTGTCTGCAAACTTGGAGTGCACTCGATCCCTTCTTCTAGATCATTGATAAGGATGGTAAAGAGAACCAGCCCCCATACAGAGCCATGGGGGACACCACCTGTGACCAGTTGCCAACTGGATTTAACTTCATTCACCGCAACTCCTTGGGCCCAGCCACCCAGCCATTTTTTTTGCCCAGTGAAGTGTATGCCTGTCCAAGCCATTAGCAGCCAGTTTCTCCAGAAGAATGCTGTGGCAAACAGTGTCAAAAGCTTTACTAAATCTAGGTAGACAACATCCACAGCCTTTCCTTCATCCACTAAGTGCATCACCTTGTCATAGAGGAAGATGAGGTTAGTCAAGCAGGACTTGCCTTTCCCGTGTTTACTGAGCCTTATCAACTGGTTGTCCTGTATGTTCTGCAAGATGGCACTTCGATGTTCTGCTCCGTAACCTTCCCCAGCACCAAGGTCAGAGTGACAGGCATGCGTTTCCCCTGGTCCTTCTTCCAGCTCTTCTTATAGATGGGCATTACATTTGCTAGCCTCCAGTCAACTGGGACATCCCCTGCTAGTCAGGACTGTTGATAAATGACAGAAAGTGGCACTTCCACCAGCTCCCTCAGTACCCTTGGGTGGATCCCATCTGGCCCCATAGACTTTTGTGTGTCTGTGTGGTGTAACAGGTCACTAACTGTTTCCTTGTGAATTATGAGGACTTCATTCTGCTCCCCATCCCTATCTACCAGCTCAGGGGTCTGGGTACCCAGAGCACCACTCATCTTACTACTAAAGACTGAGGCAAAGAAGGTGTTAAGTACCTCAGCTTTTTCCTCATCCTTTGTCATGTTTCCCCATGCCCCCGCCAAATAGCCTTCTGTAGAAAACAGTATCTTGGAATTATTTTACTAATGTCTTGAAGTGATAAAGTCTCTATTTTATAGTAGTCTTTATTTTTAGCATTTTAAATATTTTAGGAGTTTGAATTAAAAACATATCACTGTCTGAGGTGTGGGCCAGGGAATTATAAAAATTGTCATTGTCAAGGGAGAGAGTTCGAGACAATTTTGTGCCAGATATAAGGGTTGTTTGATAGTGTGTGTATTGATGAAACTAGACTCTATTTCCCAGGTGCAACTTAATCATGTTGGTATTCTGTGGCATACCTAACAAATCAACTAAGCCAATTTGATATTGTATGGGAACTCTAATTAAAGTATTTCACAGTTTTAATGTAATTAAATTGGTCTGAGTTGAAGTAAAGTTGAACTTTTAGTACTGTGCAGACTTGGAGACATTTTGCTGGGCAATGCGTTAGTCTTCAGGTAGTTCTGTAGAAATTAATAGGAAATGTGCCATTTGCTACAAGCTGTTAAGTAACTGTGGGCCACGTGTCTGGCTGTTAGTGATCAGTGGTTGGTAATTGCCCGAATGAAATGGGACAGTATGTTTTAAGCCTGAGGCTGGGGCTTCCTGCAGTCTTGCCTTTAATGCTCTGTTGTTCCATGTGCAGTAACAACACTGAAATAGTATATGCATGTGGGAGATTCACATTACTGCACATCTCTCTGAATCCCTCTTAGATTTTCTAGGATTTAAAAATCTAAACATGTAGGCTGAAGGATCTATCACTAATCAGCCGCTCTCTTATAGTGCTGCTAAAACGACAGAGTACACTTATGCTTGCTTTAGTTAGAGAATGATGGCTGAGGTGGTTACATGGCCATCTTGGCTTCCAGCCCCTATGTAAAATTTGCATATCCTGGAATTGTAAAAGGGACAAGGTAGATGAAAAGGTTTGAACATGAGCGTTTTCGGTATGGAAACTTAAGAATATTTGAGTATTCTTCTGAGAATATACATGTATGTAGTTGCCATGTTCTGGTAAAATCCTGTTGGCACTCTCGATTGCCTAGGATCGGAGAAGTATTTAATAGAAAAGTACTTGAAATTATCCTATTCATATTACTTTACAAAGAAATGTTGTGCTTCTTTTTTCAGAGTGGAGTATACTCTATGTGACTCTATCTGCTTTTATTTTGATTGTGGTCACAATAGGGCTTGCCTGGTTCTGCATCTGCTGCTGCAAAAGGTACATAATACGTTTCATTTTGAGGGGGTGTAACCAACAACTGCACACAGCTGCCACATTTTAGTCCAGTCCCTAGCAGTAAACCACTCAACTTCTTCTCAGACACTTGAGGAGCTTCCTGTAGCTGTTTCTGTAAAGATGTACTTTTTTGAAAAAAGGAGTATCTGTCTGGGGCTATGTGTATTCTTCCGCATTTTGAAAAATAAAAAGCCAGTGCTGGAGTATCCTTCAAATTAAGAGCTTATTTGTGGAAAAATGCTGAGTGTGTACTGCACATCTTCCTGGTCTCTTACTGAGTCCTCCAGGTACTCCATGCTAAGAAAAGAGAGGCACATCCTGAAGGTCACTGAGACATGAGTGTTCTGGGCCTTGCAAAGGGAGCTGCTTCCAACCTGGTGTCTGTCTTTGACAGGAAAAATGGATGTGTAGGCTGCATCTGGCTGGCAGGCAAGGATAGGAGCCTTGAAAAGCTTCTTTTCTAAACCAAGAATCTGTCTCAAAATACTTACTGATTGTTTCCTTAAACAGTTTTCCCTACCACTGTATGTCATATTTCCCTCTGCATGTCACTCCCCACATCCTGTTGTCTTTCCTAGTAAGCCATTAAGAAATTCTTTAAAGTAACAATCCCTTCAAGTGCTGTCACTAGAGAGTGTTTTTGCTGCTTCACAAAAAAGCACAGCAAAAAGGTATTCAGGTATTATCAAAAATGAGATGCTACAAAAATTTTTCCTGATTTTTAACTTGGTCTAGGGTGTTTTTGGAGCATTTAAGGGATGCTGTTTGAAATGCATTGGACTTGGTATACTGCTTTCCTTTTTTTTTATGGTTGAGAGAACAGTGCTGTTAGTGAAAAGTTTAAATAGAAGTGTATCTCATATCAGCGTGAGGCACAGCCTTGCAGGCTTGTGTGGATTTGATGAGAAAGGGAGTGTTTATGGAGTTCAGCTGCTTCCATGCCTTTGTCTTCATATGGCTTGTGCCAGAATGAGTGCTGAGTGATGCAGATACATGTGAAAAGAGGAGAGCAGGGCTGCACAGGACAAGATGGCAAGAGATGCCCTTTGCACCCTTTGCAATGTTGAAACTACAGGAAGAAGATGCAGTTTAGTCCAAAATTTGTCTGCAATTTGGGGATTTTAAAGGCTTTGATAACTTGCCATATGAAATAATTTTTCAAAAGAATGTAGAGGGGAAGCCAGGAGGCTGGCTGTTGCTGTGTTGCCAACTGAGAGGTAGCTGCTTCTCAAATATAAAAATTACATCTGACCTGTGGTGTCTGGGAGTGCTTTTTCAGATGTTGTTTGAGTTAAAAATCTTGCCAAGAAAAAAGGCACATGCTCCCTGTCCCCTCCCACCCCCACCCGTCAAAAAATATATATAATATATAAATTACATAACATATATGTAATATATATAGTATGAATAATATATATATATATATATAAGGAAAGGAAGGAAAATGCCTGAGGTGTGACAGCATCTTCTGGGAGGTGCCTCCCTTTGTTTCATGCATGAAAGCCATTACTTTTACTCTGAAATACTTCACTTGTTCCCTGTCCATTAAAACAAACAGCCCTGTCTGTTCCTCTAGCTCCAAATCTTTCTACATTCAGTAAGGTAGAAAGCGGAAAGGTAACTCTGGCAAACAGCTAAAACGTAAAGTAGAGATTTGCCACATCATAGAAGTGAATGCAGAAGAAGGATTTAAATGAGGAAAGACTAGATCAGGATTTGGCTACAGACCAGTAGTGCTTTGTCCCTGCATATATATGTGGGAGCCAATCTCCATTTTTGACTGGTCTTCTCTGTAAATATAATGAGACAAGCTTTACTTGAATTCTCTTAGTTTTAAAACAACCAACCAAATAAACAAACAACAACAACAAAGATACCTAAACAATTTAGTTTAGGAATGAAAAACTTCTTACAGAATTTTTATTTGGAAACTAATGAGTGTGTCTATCTTGTGCCTAATTAACTGTGTTGAAATTGAACAAACTGAACTCTTTGGGCTAGGGAAGCAAATCACTCTTTCTTCATCTCTATATATCAGACAGATCAAGTAAATGCTATCCTCTGGTCCAGATTGTACAGCTGCTTTTTACAGGTGTATGCTGGAATAGCTCTTTCTGATTGGAGGTTCTTTCTGAGGCTCTGTATGTGGGGCATGTAGCTATGTGTACTGTAAAGGAGAAGGAGCAGATTTATGTGTGTATGTGTAAGCTAAATATCTTTTTGGTAACTTTTTTTTTTTTTTTTAGCAGAAAGAGGACAAAGATAAGAAAGAAAACAAAATATACCATCCTAGATAACATAGATGAGCAGGAGAGAATGGAGCTGAGACCCAAATATGGTAAGAGCAATCTCTTTCACTTGGGGTTTATTTAAGCAGTGAATCTTTAAGCTGTGAACTCATCCACCAACCTTACAGTCAAGGTTTTTAGTTGGCACTTGAAATCAAAGGGAGCCTGGCAGCTGGACTACAGGGTTGAGAATGACAGAGGCAAACATAAATGGGGAAATGGCTGGTCAAGAATCACTTCATTTCTTGCATGTATCCTTGGGCTCAAGTAAAGCTCTGAGCTTCTTCATTAACCTTAATTTAAACCATCTAATTGTCCCACAGACTTCTTACATGTAACCTCCTTTCCCCTCACACACACTTTATAATTTGGGTCTGTTTTTATTGGTGCATACAACACTTCCCTCTGGATAATAAGTGCCCTGTTAAACATTAGAGACTTCAGCTGCTCTATTCAAATACATTTTAATTTACCTTATTTCAGTTTTTAGCAAGGGAAATATTGGAATGCAGGGAATTAATATCATCCTTAGAAATTGCTGTCCTAGAAAGATAGATGTAACATTTCAGTACAAATCATGACCTTTCATTACCAGTCACTTAAATCAGGGAGCTGGGTAAACAAGCTAGTTCCCAGATTCAGGCTATTAGAATTGTATGGCTTTTCAGAGTCATAAACCAGTGGGGCTACGCTGAGGTCAAAAGAGTATGTCTGACACTGTTATACCTCCTAGACCAGCTTTTGACATGGGTAGTGGTACTGGGTGGACTGCAGAGAGTGTTTTCAATTATTTTTCATATCTGAGCAGAGGATATGATGATTAAGTTGTTAATAGTGAAAGCTTTCTAATGAGCTTGTTTTGCCTTTTTTTTTTTTGGTTTGTTTGTTAGGTATAAAACACAGGAGTACAGAACACAATTCCAGTCTGATGGTCTCCGAATCAGAGTTTGACAGTGATCAGGACACTATCTTCAGCAGAGAAAAGATTGAAAGAGAGAATCCTAAAACCCTCCTGAATGGATCAATCAGAAATGGAGTTTCTTTCCACTACAACTCCAAAGACAGATAACTGAATGAGGGTAAAACACAAAATGCACTGATCCAACACATCTAAAACATGTTGTCCCGTTTCTGTTTTTCCAAATCAAAAGCTTTCTAAAATATCAGGTAATTGCAGGTGAAAGAGTAGATTTATAGCATGATGGTGGGAAAGGGCAGAGGAAGTATTTCATGGTCTGCCACCACAACGAACAAGGAAAAGCACGTTTTATTTCTCACATGTTACATGCTGATATTTGTGTGAACTTCAAAAAGATGTTTTTCTTGTATCACTGCTAAAAAACTAGCCAGGGCTGTTACGCCACTAACAGTGGTAATTGAGATGTATATAAATTTGTATCCTGTACTCCGGTCTTTTTCTCAGAGGATCAATGGGGTTATGAACGTGACCTAAAATAGCAAAAGCCAACGTATGTCAGTTCTGCTAGAGCTATAGAGAGCAGTATGTGACTGCAGGTTCCTTCTTAATTTTCAGTTTAGATCAGGAACACGGAAGGAACATTTGTAGTGTTTTTTTCTCTCTGAATGTGATTCATGACTTCCTTTTCTAGGGTAGTGATCATCAGATAAAAACATTTGTTTTTAAAAGAGGTTTACAATCTAGCCGTTGTACTGAGCTCTAAACTAATGTGACAAATCTGTGCCCTGTGGGATGCAGTGTTCTCTGTATTTACATGAAAGGTATGATGCCTACAGGGAAGTCCAACCTTGGGTTGCTTCTGTAATGATGAAATTACTTTTACTTTTTAACATCTCAATGTCTTTTAAAGACCTCCAGGGATGGTGACTCCACCACTTCCCTGGGCAGCCCATTCCAATGCCTCACAACCCTCTCAGGAAAGAAGTTCTTCCTAATAACCAACCTAAAACACCCCTGGTGCAACTTCAGCCCTTTCCCCCTCATCCTGTCACCAGGCACATGGGAGAATAGACCAACCCCCACCTTGCTACAGCCTCCTTTAAGGTACTTATAAAGAGCGATAAGGTTGCCCGAGCCTCCTTTTCTCCAGGCTGAACAAGCCCAGCTCCCTCAGCCGCTCCTCATAGGACTTGTTCTCCAGACCCCTCACAAGCTTCATCACCCTTCTCTGGACTCTTTTGAGCACCTCGATGTTCTTCTTGTAGTGAGAGGCCCAAAACTGAACACAGCACTTGAGGTGTGGCCTCACCAGAGCTGAGTACAGAGGGACAATCACTTCCCTAGCCCTGCTGGCCACACTGCTTCTTATACAAGCCAGGATGCCGTTGGCCTTCTTGGCCACCTGAGCACACTGCTGGCTCATATTCAGCCAACTGTCCACCAATACTCCCAGGTCCTTCTCCGCCTGGCAGCTTTCCAGCCACTCCTCTCCCAGCCTGTAGCTCTGCTTGGGGTTATTGCGCCCCAGGTGCAGGACCTGGCACTTGGCCTTGTTGGACTTCATGAGGTTGGCTGTCTCTTAATAACCTCTGTGTCTTCTGTATATTTCCACTTAACTTCCAAGAGGATCTGTTCCATGATCTTATCAGGCACCGAGGTGAGGCTGACCAGTTCCAGTAATGTGATTAGTCCCACCAAGTTTCAACGATAGCAATTAGGTCATAGCTTTCCATCTGCACAGTGGCTGCCAACTCCTACTTTTTGTTACTTATGCTGCATGTGTTGATATACAGGCACTTTAGTTGTGCTGTTGACAATGTCACCTTTTTAGAGGAACAAGCCCTAATTCCATTAAGGCATTTCATAGGTGTTTCTCTGTTGGTACATAAAAGTCAGGGCATGTTAATATGTTCTCTTTTACTCCAAACTCCATCCCCTTCCCCTGCGAAGTCATGCTGCCGGGGGTTGCCCTGCTGGGCAGAGAAGATGTAGATAATTCCAACCTCTAAGTATAGAAGTGAGGTATACAGAATTAATTCTTTGCTCAGAGGGCGGTGAGGCACTGGCACAGGCTGCCCAGAAAACTATGGGTGCCCCGTCCCTGGAGGTGTTCAAGGCCAGGCTGGATGGGGCTTTGCGCAGCCTGGTCTGGTGGGTTGGAAGGGACCTCTAAGATCGTCTGATTCCAACCCCCTGCCTCTTAAGCTGTGATGCATGGCCACCATTTTCTTTCAGCAGGTCACAGTCTCCTGTAGTTTCAAACTTCTTAAGAAACTTTTCCGTGTTCTTTGAACCTGAAGGGCATTAATTGCTTCTGTTGCAACATCTTTCTCATATTCTTCGTGTTTCTTCTGCAGGAGCTGGGAACCCGAATACTTGACTGCAGTAGATCTGATCTCCCCACCAAATGCTGAGATCCAGGGCTTCACACCACATACAGGCCTCTCACATACTACAGGAATACATTCTTCTTACAGTAAGAAGACTCAACGGGACAAACTTCAGCCAGCCCTTAATATTATGTTCTATATGCTCTACTCTCCAGCTTTTTCTTCCACAGCATCTTTTCTTTACTGCTTCTGCTAAGTATCTAGTGTGCCTTTGTCCATGAACTTAACTTTTAGTACGTGTCAGCGCAGTCAGCATCCTTCAGTTTTATGAAGTCAGTCACTTGTGTATTGGGTTTATTTTATGTTTTTAAAGCCTGGTGCTGAAGCCTAGGAGATGGTTCTTTCAAGGAATTAAAAAAAATTTCTCCCACATGGACATACTTACTTCGATCTTCAGATCAGTGGCAAGCTCACGTATCGTGAGAATGTCTGCACAATTTGTCCAAATATTTCTCACTCTTCACAAGTAAGAAGCTAGTCTAATGTTTCTTATTGCTTAAAGCCTTACCAAGTTGAAGCTGCTTACTGAATTCTGTTCTCTAGATGACACTTTGACGTTTTAGTGGCTAACAGTATTTTTAGCTGTGTTTTCAAAGCTGGATTTTTGAGCAGCTTCTAGTTCTACTGGTTTAATTCTTCCATATCCTTGGAAGGAAAAGCCTTTCATCATACATAATACCAGGCTTACTATTAGTATGAAACTTGCACCAAAGTTTAAAATAACAGTTTCTGGCTCTACGAATTTGTGATATCACATTAGTGTCATTTGGCCAAGCATGATTTTGTCAAGAATTTAGGAGTGTATAAAGCAAGCCTTTATCTCGATTCAGTGTAATATTTATTTCTAGAAATATCGTTTTCCTAGACTTTCCTAGAGCATGTCAGGTAGAAGGAAGGGGTAGGAAAGTTAACTCTTAAGCTGAAAACACTATGGCAGAATTCAGGACTGCTGCTAGCTTTCTGTTTTGGGTAATGATGGTTTAAGCCAGTACTCAGTCCTCACATTTCCACACAATTTTCTTTTATGCACAGATTGCTGGCATCTCCTTTCTGAAATAGGGATGCACTGCATCCCAGCAGTGTCCTCTGCTCTTCTGAGATACAGCTCAATATGTAGGGTGCAAAGTCCTTTGAAAATAAAGAATAAATTGGCAATTTAGCACTGGTAAGATGCTCTCTTAGTAGGTGGTGTGCCAATACTTAGAGTGCATCATAGCCTTGGTGCAAGTACTTGATTTTCACTTGCATCTTCGTTCTATGTTTATAGGTGCTGATACATGCACAAATAGAGGTTGTCCAGCTGTGTAAAAAGGCTGCCTTCATTGCATTTTAAGAAGGGAATATATTTAGAAAAAAACTTTCTTGCCATTACTGCCTGATGAGTTAATCATGTTCAGTACTCAACACTGCCATGCTGCAAACAGTTTTGTGTTTTTAATTTTTTTTAACCAAAATACAGCTGCTGTACAAACTGAAACTTACTTGGGCAAGTCTGCTGAAGTGCGCATACAAAGCCTCTTGTCCTCTGGTTCAACCTTTCATTTTAACTGAGTAGACTGATGAGAAATCCAAGCAAAATGTGAAGTCTAGTTATAGAGGCCTTTACTTGGGGAGGGGAAAAAAAAAAAAGATTGTTACAGTTTCATGTGAGAGAATACACTTTCAACTGCATCCTTTCAGGTAAACAGGAGTCAAGTATCTCCCTCTGACAGACATACAGCTACTCATCAAGTACCTGTTCTGTGCTGTCAGATGTGGTTGCTTTTATGATGGCTTTTTTTTTTCTTGTTTTGTTGCAGCAAACAAAAGGTTCAAGTTCATCATGTGTGTATTTCTTTAGACTATACTAATGTTCTTGAAATAATTTTCTTAGGCAAATTTCCTATTGCTCTTTTAAGCCTCACGTGAAACTAGTTTTGCCCCTCAATATACTGATAATGGGCTGTAGTCAGCTGGAGCATTCAGATGACAGTTACAAAATGACAACTACTTCAGTCCTTTGAGCCATTTTTATGAGGATTGAGAGAGGAAAACCTTCCAATGAAAGATGGGAAACAGGGTAGAAGTGAATTAGTTTCTTAACATCAGCTATGGCCTAGTATTGGTCCATAACTAGAATACTACTCAAAAACAAAACAAAAAAACCCTATTACATACAGTTTTTTGGTCCTGAACTCCCTGTGGCAACCTTGAAGCTGAGAAATAAAAATGAAAACAAACAAAACTTTATTTTGCGTAGGTTACGTATCAAGTGCAGATGAGCCACAAATCAGTAGTTTGTCTCTGTATGGAAGCACTTCTCCCTGTGGGTGGATGGGTGAGCTATTGCAGATTTTATATGAAGAATCTGTTTCTAGAAAGTGTTACTTATTGCAAATGAGAATTTATTGTAACTGGAACTATTTCTGAGCTGAAACTATTACATTTATGTAACTATTAGTTAAATAAAAAATAAAGTTTTGTCTCTCCTTCTGAGAACTTGTTTTAAATGTGGTGTTGTGTATTGGACTAAACACTCAAGCTGAGCTAAGAGAGACAAGCTTCATAGCATACGTTAAATCTGTATTCACAAAAGCAGTGTGATATCTGATCCTTTGCCTTGCTATTGACATATAGGTATTGACGTATAGGTATCCTTTTGCAGAAAGATGGCATAATTCAGTACATCAGGGAGCAGAAAAGCTCTTTTACTGCAGCTCCCAGAGTTCCCACGTTCTGCTCGTCTTTGCTGTAATTGGCTGTACGTGAGTATTCACCAGCTGTTTTGGAAGTGTGGCAGGTTGAGCAGTTTTGTGGTTTATTCTGTAGCAAATGCAGTGCTCCACTGTAAGTACAGTGGCTGCTTTGTGGTAATCTGTGGTGCTAGCGTGCAATATAACCCAAAATATCCCTGCAAGCTAGGGGTAGATTATGCTGCCTGTTCCTGAATGAGAAAAGAATCCATGCATTGGTGTCTGTAAAGTTTGTGCGAAATTGTGATGATGCAAGGTACTGTGAGATTCAGGTGTCCCTCCCTAAGGAGAAACACAACGTAAAAGCAACTTCTGTAGTGCATTTGGATATATAGCATCACGTTGCATTTCTTACATTCATAAACTTGACTCCTACAAGGGAATACCAGTTGCTGAATAGGTTGATGAGATGCATAATGTCCTTTGCTGGAGAATGGAATCTGCCCATTTGTTATTGGGGTGTAAGTTTTAGTAGTAGCAGCAGCCTCCCCCTTTCCCTGAGGTAGGCTGGTGAAGGCCTCGAATGTGTGCAACAGAAAGCACAGCAGCAGCTCTGCTAAGGTGCTTCAGAAGTCAGTGACACAATGAAAAAACTGTTTGCTACATGCTCACAACAACTTCTTGTGACTTCTTGTGTCTTGGAAGGCCCTAAACAGAAGTTCTGACAAGGAACACTAAACAAGTGCTAAAATTTTACTTAAACCTTCTGACATCTGTACGTAAATCTTTGTAAGCTTTCTATAAGCATTAGGGCTAGGATAAAGGACACGATCAGTTATACATAAAACTGCCAGTTAGTGAGATGGTTACTTCAATACCAAGTTAACTGGATATATATATATATATTTTTAACTTCCAGGATTGCCCAATTCCTAATACTACATGCCTGTTGGTTTTAGAACAGTATCAACTATTTTACAGTTTGCAAACCATTTACATTCTGCAAAGCTTGATTATGAAAACATTTCATTATACAAGCATAAAATGTCTTTTTAAAAATTGCCAGGGACATTTAATAGGCCACACGACTCCAGCCTGCTTAAGCATTTACTTAAATGCCATGATCTTAGTGATAAGTGGTAATGAAGAACAAGAACCAGCTACTCAAAATTAAATACTAGGTATTGGTCAAACTTTAAATACTTTTGAAATACTTCTGAGTAGCACTGTTGGTTTTTTTGTTTGTTTTGTTTTTTGTGTGTGTTTTTTTTGGTTTTTTTTTTTTTTTTTTTTTTACCTCTACTGGCTTGGTGTTACATCTGAAGAACATCTGGATGCTGGGAAGTCTTTTTTTTCCAGTGCAAAAGTTGTCACAACAAAATTTCTGTAGAAATCTGAGGGTCTAAATGTAATGTAGCTACTATCACTGTCAGTTCAACAATAAATAAGGTAATGAGCCACACAATCCAGTGCTTTCACAGAAGTTATTTATTAACTGAAAATATTTTTCCATGGCAGTTCTAGTATCCAGAAATTGCTGAACTATCACAAATGTAATCAACATAACTGAGGTGTAAGAATTCAAGTATACGTTTTGTTAAAGAATCACAGCTTTTGCTCTGAAGACAACTTCAAGATTATTCTGTGCTTACTGATGTAGACATCACTGACACAAGGATGCTATGCTGGAATCCTACCACAATCCAATCTAGACAAAGGCTTTTTCAAAGCCTATATACATTATTAATTACGTTTTGTGCTTGTTATCAGACGTAGTAAAAAAAAAAAAAAAGCTAGGAAAAAAGTAAACATTTACTCATTAATTTTAACAGTGCTATTCTTAGAAATATATCGCGATTTTAAATGCACCAATGCATCAGATCACTAGTTTTTACAATTAATAGAGCAGCCAGATAAAAAGTTTATCCTCCAACTGCACTGTCCCAAGAGGTACACCTACATTCAGAACTGCACTGTCATATAGCATTAAATGAGATTTCTTTGCCCTCATACTGCAGATCACATGCAGACAATTTTAAGTTTGTGCAATTAAAGTGGCAGATATTCCAACTTATGTAGAACATCCACAACTTTGCCTGAACCATTGTGTTATTCATACCCAGACACCAAGTTATGACCTTTTTCACCCTCATTACGCTTTCCAGTAAGAAATAAACAATGTATTGGCAGCTAAGGCTGGCGAAGAGTTCCCTGTTCCACATCCTCATATTCTCTAAATTCAGGTAGCCTATGTGCTCAGTAATGTAGTCTCAGAGGTTGGGTGGACGCTTTCTTGCAATTAGTGTAGGTAGAAGTTGGCTATCCTTTTTTGTTCTTGGAAAAAGACATGTACTGCAACTAATAACAGTATTAAGTCCTTATTACCTTAAACATGCATTTATTTCTGGTGCATTGGAAATGCTTGGAAGGGCAGTAAGTGTTCTTTACCTGTCCTTCAACTGGCAGGATGCACATATACTCATTTACTGACAAGTAGTGTGTTACGTACAAACACCCACCTGGTCTCAAGTGTTAGATAAATATAAACATAAAAAAATATTTAGAAATAATAAGCACCAGTCAATGCTACCTCATGTGCGCTTTAAAAAACCCTGTGAAACTCAGCTCTGGCTCTTTCATCAGTCTTATTTTTGCTTCATTGGATAAAATATCTTAAAATAGCCCGTTTCATAGGGTACATTCATTAGGAAGAAGTGGTACGTCATCTTCTCTTTTTTTCAGTAATTAATGGGTAAAATCACACCCTATAATTTAAGTACAGGAAACAAAATTTCTTCTCCTTAGTCTCTGCAGCATTGATTTATTTGCCAAATTAGCATTGCACTTTTTTTTTTTTAATGCTTCAAGTCTCATTGAACTAATAACATTTAAATAGTACTGTTTGTTTCATATTAAGGATTCTTTAGATTATCCTTAAAGATAACAAAGTACTGAGGTTATGGGTAAAAGTTTCACCTATAGTCATTTTTAAGTCCTCATTAGATGACAAGTTAGCCAATTTTAAAGGTTTTTGTACCTTCCTCCTTAAAGGTTATTTTCCTGTGTGACCACGAATCAGATTCAAAGCACAAAGCCCAGAGGAACTGAACCATCTATCTGCTCCTGTCCTTTGGAGGTGGTGGGTAACATTCTAGATGCCTGAGCAACATTTACATCAGTGACCTTCCTTTTACAAAAGGACATTCTTTTCGCAGAAGGGAGTTAAGTGTATCATCATGTCACCACTTGGGATTCATTCATACAGCCCTTTCAGTGTCCCCTGACAATTCTGTAAGTTATTCCTGCAACCATGCATCCTATCTTCCTCCTACTAGTTACTAACCCAGCAACTCTTTTGTACTTTGCTGATATTTTCCCAGGACAGCTAGAACACTCATACATACCCGACAAAGGCATTCAATCCCAAACCTGTAAGCTGTTAAGCACAAATTACAGCTCTTTGCTCAGAAGCCCAGAGCTTAACAGCTGGCAGCTCTGCAGCCAGCATTAACACACACTGACAAAGCTATACTTTCACCTGCATGAACTCCTAGCAGTAGCTAAAAGACACTCCTCACCTTTCAAAAGCATCAGATTATCCCACAGTTAAAAAGAGACATGCCTGCTTCTAAAAGAAAGTTACATAACCACATTAGAAAATGCTGGTGTTTACACAAAACTCTAAAGGGAGTCTGCCATCCTCAATGCTTCCCACATCCTACACACACTCAAGCAGGCAACAACAAATGGTAGTCAGCTTTCCCCTTGACACACAGGCTATGATCTATTTTCATAATGCAGAAGTCTCCAAGTCCTGCCAACTACACGGGTAATCTAAGGATAACAGATGTGCATTCCTCCCTGCTCCTTGTTAGAGATAATGGGCACTGTGATTACATTGCTGAAAAACAACGTAGAAACATGTAAAAACGTGGCAGCACAGAATGTTGTATCTCTACACATACAGAACAGGGTTACTTAGTTTTGAAGAAGGTAAATGTTGCATTCATAACATATTTCTGGTTCAAAAAGCTTTTAAAACTACAAGGCTTTTCCAAAATGTTGAGATTGTGCTTTCTGAAGATTTTTATAAGCCTCCGAAGCAGACATATTTTATTTCTAAGTATTCATCAATGCCATACTTCGAACCTTCTCGTCCTAAGCCAGACTGCTTTACTCCACCAAACGGACTCTCCACTGAGGAGACTATGCCTTCATTTACACCAACCATTCCAACTTCCAGCTGCTCAGCAACTCTCCAGATCTGAGCTGGATCTTGGGAGTAGAAATATCCTGCCATGCAGAAACAGAGGTACAGAATAAATAAAAAAAAAAAAAAGTCAGAAGGAACAATTGCAGAAGACTGAAAAAGATACTTCTTGACACGATGTCCATCATTTCATTAAAAATTGTTACCCCCTTAACACTGAATCTTATCAAAAACCTCAATAGTGTATTTATCTAAGAGTGGCATACCTGCTAAACCCACATTGGCTGCATTTGCTATGGCAATAGCTTCTTCTTCAGTCTCAAATCTGTCAATACAAAGAAAAAAATAGAAATGAAGCCTGCAGTTCATCTACCATCTTGCTCACTTACTGCGAAGAAGCAGCTTTATCAGAAATAAGTCAATGTGCAGTTTTTTCCAAAAATGTATTTTCAGTATCTATTTTAATTTTAAAGCAATGGAGGAGTTTCTACCACTTACTTTAAATTAAAGTAGTTAAATAATTAGGATTGCCTTTATCCTCCATAGATACTGGTAGCTAAACCTTTACTTCCTATGAGTTAGCTCACTCATTT